ATACTAAGATAGATGTATAGTACCTGTACCTGTTTATTTTTACATAAATTTAAATGTTGACTGAATATTTGATGTTGCAGGATATCTTCATTATTTTTCAGAGTGATTTTATAGTTGTCAATACTGAAAATGCCACTTCACATAAATATGTAGTACAAAATTGTTTACTGACATCAAATTTTGCAATCCCACATTCAGTTGTGTGACCCACTTTGGGGTTAACCCACAGTTTAAAAATATGTTATAATATTACAAGGAAAGGCAATAAAATTACTTTATGTAACTTTTAAATATTTCCTGTTTAAGTTTGTGTGAAACTAAACCCCTAATACAATATTTTATATCAATGACTGTTCTATATTTTACTGGTTCTTTATGATAAAATATAGACCACTCATTGATATAAAATAATATTGTTTGGAAAAGTTAAAAATATTAAACAATTCAAAAAATAGTATAAAAAGTACAGAAGAATTTTTGAATGGCTTAAGAGGTTTAAAATGGGAGATATAAAATGTTATCATTAGATGTAAAAAATAAGTATCCTAGTATAAAGAATGAAAGAATAGTTAACTCCCTCAAATTGATTGTGAAGATTATTGACTTAATAAATTTTGTTTTGTCAAATAATTATTTTCAATTTAATGGAAAATACTATACTCAAAAATCAGATATACTGATGGACTATAATAGGCCCAAAATTGGCTGATTTCAGTATGCTTGACATCAGCACATTCATAAGTAATATTAAAGAAATTAAATTTTATAATGGATATATATAATAAAACAATAATCTATGTAATACTGAAGAAATTAAGTCTAGTAATTTATTAAGGACAGTTAACAAATTAGATAATATAAAATTTGAAATTGAAGATGAAATTAATAATAAATTGTCTTTTTTGGACAATTTATTATGTACTAAATGCTCCATCTGATCTATAGTAGTCCAAGTCCTAGCATTTCATGAAACTTTGCAATACAGTCGACCCCCCTATAACACTGTTGATTTTTCCGTTTTATATGAATTCCGTGTTGTACGAGTCGCTTAGATTTTACAAATACGTGAGCCGTTCACAGCCCGACACACGTATTTGTAAAATCTAAGTGACTCATACAATATGTAATTCATATAAAACGAAATAATCAACAATCTTATAGGGGGGGTCGACTGTACTGGGGAGAGTTGCAATTTGTAACAATACTTTACATAAAGACTAATCAATGATAAGACAAAAGAAAATCTTTCAATTAATAATAATAAACATATTTAAAACTAGACTTACAGTGCTTAAATTAACTGACTACTTGGCAGTCATGATGTTCTGAGACTTTGCAAATTGAACTTTGATATCTCAAGAAAGTAAAGTATTGTGTTGTGTGCACTCTCAGATTTTTCTGATAATGCATATCTTACAAAAACAAAAAGGTACTGTACAATTGAAATAAATGTGATTTTACTCAAACATTATAATAAATAAACATATTCTTAATTGAAATGTGTCACGAATTATGTTATAGTATAGTAATGTTCTTTTTATGTTAAAATATGTAAATAAATTGACACATTAATATAACAGTCAATAACTTTTATTTTCAAGCAACAATATGCTGCTTTGACTTTATCCAAAGAAATGTGGTACATTTTTAAAAATACAAATTTTCAAATTGAAAAAACTTTTTGTATTAACAAAGCTTTACTATACAAAATACACAAAAGTAAATTATATAGAAATAGTCGAAATTTTACAGTCCACATAATATTTATATATAAAGTAAAATTTATAATCTCTGTATATTTAAGTTTATCCCTTTTTAAATTTACATTAAAATGTACATCGATCAAATATGTTCTTACAATAAAATAAAAATTTATGTATCAAATAGGCATCACAAGTAGCCTAAAACTATTGCAATTTTTCTGTACACTTTGAGAGTTGAATTCAAGTTAATCAATTTAAAAAAATAATTGTACTGTAATTGCATTTCAATTAAAAAATGCAAAATAGAAATGTATATTTTTCTTTATTTTATATATATAATTTTTGGTACTTTTGTAATGGATTAATTTTTAATTCAAATATTTTGGTAATTAATGGAATTAAATTTTTACTCTGCTATTATTTTAATCTAAACAATATATGTCTTCTATTAGTATTAAATAGATCATTAAATCATTTTTAAACATTTCCTCATGTTAATTTTAGAGAAATTTAAAACTTCAGAAAATATTTCGAATATACCATTAAAATACATTTATATGCTATGAATAAATTGGCTTATAATTTGATATACATTGTATGTAAAATCAATACAAGAAGTTAAGAAATTTTAAATGTTTCCAGCATTTACATTTTATAATTTTCATATAGTTAACTCAGAGCATTAAAAAAGTAATATTTGTGCCATGTCTTTAACAATACAGTAGTTAGAACAATTAAATAGTTTAACAGTAATACAGTGCCCATGAATCTTATATTTACAACTGTTTTTATCTTTATGAGTTTTATTATATGAAATAGTTTTATTAAGTACGTCTACATAATTTCAATATTTTTAAGAAATTCTGCTACACTGCTTGTTGATATACTACATGTTTTAACTGTACTAATCAGCACATTTGAAGGCAAAAAATGAGCTCTTATATACAAAAAAATATTCCAATAATAAATTTTTTGTCATTATTAAAATAATTATTTTGAAAATTACAATAAAAAAAGAAATAAAGCATTATATTGAACACTGGCAAGAGAAAAATGAAAATTCAATCTGTTATATCCAAAATTTTATATCAGTATAGGAATCTTTCTATCTTAATCTTTCTATTTTAGCTATCAAACTATTATTGTAAATTATAAGAAAGAAAAATCTTTAAAGTACTATAAATGTGTACTAGGTATTAAATTATCATTAAGTTATTTCATAATTTTTTGAAATAATTTAAAACAATCATTGTCTCTCTCAATATCATCATCTACACAAATATTAACTCTAAAATTTTACAGTTGAGAGAGATTAATAAATAGAAGTACAGTGAAACCTGTCCAAAATGAAAACTTCCAAACCAGAAAAAATATTCAATCCACAAACTTTCCAGTTTACACAGGTATTACTTTATTTGACTGGTGGCTGCAGTTAAGGTATCAGCTTACCACTTTGGAGATCCAGAATCAAATCCAGGCAGTTCAAAAAAATTCTCATATGGTCTGTCCCTTATGTTTGGCCTTGTTCCTCACAATTCAGTCAACCATTGTGGGCCTGACCAAACCTATAACGGGCTTGAAAAAGTTCTTACTGCCTACAAAGTGGAGAGGGTCAAAACTAATATATAAATATTAAAAAAAAAAGTAAGTTCTAGATAGAAGAAAATTTGTTGGGCTGCAATTTGAAAACATTGTAGATCTATAAATTCCCACTGTCTATCCATACATCTGCCTATCTTTTTTTAATCTTGAGAATAGAGTTAGATGAAAGACGATATGAGAGAAGATATGAGTCTTTGGGACAGGAGACCCCAATTAACTATATATGAACTTCTGATGCAAACTGGAAGTCACATTATTTCAATTCAAAAATTTCCCCAAAGTGTTAGAAAGATGACTGCCATGACTATTGTTAAAGGAAATGTATGATTTAAAGGGGCAAGCCACTACTAATTTGAGGTAGAGCATATATTTTAAATTAAATAAATTAAAAATATGATTAAAAATTGCAGCCTAGCATTGTGATGATGTCACAATAAATAATTGCTTGTTAAGATATAAAATACTTTAATAATTAAATTATCAAAACACATCCAACACACACACCAAACTAAAAATTTAACAAATAGTAATACAGTAGAGCATTGATTATCTGACCCCCCAATTAACCGTCACATCGTTAACTGACTGTTCTAGTTGGCAAATTTCAAATGTCCGCTAGTGATGTGGCGCTACAATATTTGGGTATGTCTTGGCTACTTTATTATTATTTTTGTTAAATTTTTGCGTGTTTTAGCTGGCAACACTGGCTCAACCATGAAAGGGAGGCCAGTATTTAAATGAGACTTAATTTTCTAATTATGAGTGGTTGTTTGTTTTGTGAGCAATAAAATAATTTTAAAATAATTTTTAACGATACAATAGCAACGATTATTATTTTTTAAAAAATTTTGTTATGTTCAACATCGATGAAAATTAAACGTGAAGTAGGTTAATAGCGATATACTAATTATATGGGATATACTAATATACTATACTAATGTATTTTTTTCATTCTTTTCGGTTATCCGACCAACCCGCGTCCCCAATTGAGTCGGATAATCGATGCTCTACTGTATCAGTTCTTAAAAAAATCATTATTCTCTATTCCTGTTTAATGTGAAAGGAACTTGAAAGAATATAATATTATGGAATTTTTTAAATATAAAAGTGTATACAATTTTAAGTCTTTGGACTTTATGGTGAGCTACATTCATATTTTATACAAATGGAATTCTTGCTTAAATGAACAAATCTATTTTAAAGTAATATAGAAAAATTTATAATAAATATTTTAAAATATTTTTATAATTTTAAAATTTAGTGTTAAAATTATTTTTTAATATATTTAAAAAAAATTAAAAAATTACTGTACAGGTTTCACTGAGCAACTGATAAGGACTAAGAGTCTAAAATGCATTTTGTATAGGGTGGCACCATAGAGAAATAAAATACTTTAGCAAAATAATCACTGTTTAGTTTGTCTTTGGAAGAAAATTTGCCTTATTAAAATATAATTTACCAGTGTAGTTAAGAAGAGAGTTAAATACAATCTTTATTAGAAGATATTTTAAGTTTTTCTTGTAATTAACAATAGTTTAAATTTTACTTAGAATGTTTGTGTGTTTATGTGTTGATTTATTTTTTTTAATTTTATCATATTGAGCATTTTCTGAAAACTATATAAAGGAAAATATTATTTTTCAATAATCAATATATTGAGCACTGATTTGATGTTAGTACTTGGTAAATTTGTTATTTTATGTAATCATTTAAATTCAGACAATTCTTATTATATTTCATTAATTTTCTTCTGAAAACTGATAATTTTAAGAAGAATTGAGTTGAATTCAAATCATTTAAAATGATAAGGTATCTTTATATTTCATTTATATTATGCATGAAATAGTAGAAAGAGCTAACAAACTCTGACCACTAATTTTTTAATTAAGTAATAAAGAGAACATTTTATACTATAAAACTCAGTCTTATATTCTTTTAACAATAACAAAAATTATATAGTGGTCTCAACTGTTAGAAACTACTGTACTTAATAAAATATATTTTATCTTATAATTACAAAATAAAATTATGTTATTTGTTAAATTAAAATATTCTATGGTTTTTTTTTTCTTTTTGAAAAATACTTGTTTTGGCACTACAATATTCTGAATGTAAATTAAAAAATAAATTACTCTTATCTATACAAAATTCCATGTATCCTATGGATATTAAGATCAAAATAAATTGTTTTATTTCACATGTATAAAAAATACATGTGAGTGCATGCAAATTCTGTTATTCTTTTTCATTAATTAAAAACACAAAAATGGAGTTAAATGGAGTTATAAGATGAATTTCTAGAAATTTAATTTTTTTTTATCTTACTATTCTCATGAATTTATTTTTCATTAAAATAAAATATGTATATATGCACTATTACACATTACATACTTTCTACTTATTTATAGTTTATATAAAATGTAGAACCAACACACTCCAATGTGCAAGACAACTTACTACTTGATAAATTCTCTAAAAAGCAAGAACTTTTCAATTCAGCTAATTTATCCATAGCATGAAATGTACTTTACAAACTTCATGAATGACAAGTTATTAATTTTTAAAATTCATTTTTTAATGGTATATTTAATATGTATATAAAAATAGTATAAAATTTTTTAATTCCTAAATTATTATAATACAGTAGAATATATATATATGTATTTATATATGTATATGTTTCAAATATGCAGTTCAATTATTTCCAGCTTGTTTTTATTCTCACCTTCTTAAGTATTTGTGTTTTCATGGCTAATTTCCTTTTGAATCCAAAGTGGCAAAATCAAAATCATCAACACCAAAACTAAGTCCTTGACTAAATCCATCCTACAAAAAAAAAAAAAAAAATACAGAAAACTACTAATATTTGTCAACATGGTTACATATATTTATGAAAGATTGACATTTGGCACAGCTACATATAAAATAGCAAACTTGGTAGTGAGTGTAATGTGTAATGTAATATGGCTCTGCCAAGTGTGACATGTAATTTCAATTTTGACACATTTGACAGTCATATCACATTTCCCAAAACACTGAAAAATTATTTCTATCACTTATTGATCTAGTAAGTTCAAAAAAATTATAAAATCATAAGTCATATATAAAATATAAATTACTTTTTACAAAAAACAAACTATATCTTCTATATCATACAAAGAGTGTTAGTTTCATCCACAGATTGTTCTACTGCTAATTGTAGCTTTTTGCAATTCAATAAATTCATTCATAATGTTTGGTTTAATTTTTTTTCAGAGAGTACTATTTTAAGAAAAAAATGAAAAATTGTTTGGACAAATTACTATTTATTTAATTTAAATTAACCTGTCAATAGATGCACCTGTTTTTTCTGCAGGGAGTCACTGGGGTGATTCTCTCCATGTTAAAAAATTATATAAAATGGAAACAATACAAAAAATTTATGCATACTTAGTAAATATATACTTTAATGTGTGTATGGATAAACATAATATTTAAAAGAAACATTTACAAATTTAATACTACAGTAAATCCTCAATTCGAACTGGGATAATTTGAAAACTTGATAATTTGAAGTCATGATTATTTTGTCCCTAGAATTTCAAACTAATGAGAATTTATTGAACATTATTCATGCAGTCAGGCCACACATACTTCTAGTGATTTAGATCATAACATTTTCATAAACATAGATGACAACAATGATAGAAAAGAGAATAGTTAGTGTAAAAGTAAACTGAAGAGAAAATTGAAAAAGTTATATGAGTAGAGATGAACAAACTAAATGATGCAAAAACCACATTGATGTGGAGTCAATTTTTTCACTTTACATGCAAAACCCATCAAAAATTGACTCCACATCAATGTGGTTTTTGCATCATTTAGTTTGTTCATCTCTACTCATATAACTTTTTCAATTTTCTCTTCAGTTTACTTTTACACTAACTATTCTCTTTTCTATCATTGTTGTCATCTATGTTTATGAAAATGTTATGATCTGAATTGTAAACATTAATCTCATCTCTCCTATCACTGTCACAGCTTTTGTTCTCATCACTTCTTTCTATCAAAACCCCCATGAATTCGTGCAATGGAAAATAATTCTTCCATGTATACAGGTAGAAATGGAATCCTGTAAACTTGCATATATAAACATCACAGTAAATTGAGTGTAGTTTGATACAGTAGTATTTGGTATTTGTTTTAAACATGGTTATTTACCTGTTATTTTTAACAAATAATATAAAACATTACACTTTTGTCAATACTATAGTGTTTCCCACTATTATTGTCATATCACAAAAATGAATTCTGTAAATGGTCAATATTAATCCTGCATTCATCCAATCCATATAAATTCTTTGGTGTTGAGGTAAGTCAACCTCAATAGGCAAATACCCTAAAAAAAAGGTTAGTGCCATCATAGTGTAGTTCCTAGGAACAAAGTAAGAGAGTGATTATAACAAATTTTGATTTAATTTTTATTAAGAAAAACAAAAAATTCCAACAGCCATAAATTTTGCAGGTTTAGCATACTATCAAATCTTTAATAATTCCACATTCAATATTGGCAAGCACCAAATCCAACAGAGGGCGCTGTTTTTGAGCCAAGATGGCTGCCGAAACAGGTAAGGAAACGACCACGTGTTTGTTCAATGCCTGAGCCGATTCAGTTTCCTTCAGTGACGACTACTGCGAGGACCAAATGGAGAACAAATCATTGAATTTATGTCAAATTCTAGACTATATATAGATATATGAGACATACAGTACACACACGCACAAAACATAATGTGTAATGTGTGCTACAAATTTTTGACTGGCCTATGTTGTATAAGTGCTGAATGACTCAGCCGGGTAGCCTTCAGATTGGCACTAATTTTAACTATTATGATAAATAAAACTATGTTTTTATATTGGAACATGGTGTATACTGCTTAAAATATTTAAATACTTATCTCCTGTTAATGTTTAATAAACATGCTATCACATGTTTACAAAAACCAGACAACCCCGCTTTGCACGTGCATTCTCCCTGTAATTGAGATGTATTAAAATGCCAATATCTGATTGCAACATTAAAGCAACAACATGAACTTTGGTGTTGTTGTTGTTAGAGTTTAATCCACAAAATACAATGTGTCCAGCATCCAAAACGGCTTCACCTTCTACAAGACAACGTTTCCTGTCGCCGATATAGTCTAGAATTTGACATAAATTCAATGATTTGTTCTCCATTTGGTCCTCGCAGTAGTCGTCACTGAAGGAAACTGAATCAGCTCAGCATTGAACAAACACGTGGTCGGTTCCTTACCTGTTTCAGCAGCCATCTTGGCTCAAAAACAGCGCCCTCTGTCGGATTTGGCACTTGCCAATAGCATTATCAGTTATATTTGAGAGATTCAAATATGAGTTTTAAAAATACACATCCTATTTTTAAAATATAATTTCTAATTAAATATATTGAAACTTATTCTATATGTTGATATATACCCAAATAAAAAAAAATGTTAATAAATGACACTATATTTTTTTCATTTACTACAAATGTTAGCACAAGGTACTAGAAATACAGTAATACCTCGACTTACACTACCCCGACTTAAGCAAACCCAGAGTTACGCGATTTTCAAATCTCGTCGATTCGTCTTTTGTTTGAGCGCCACACAACTCTTGATTACTCACTCCCCTCACACTATTGTTCAGCTTACATGTTGGGATGTGTCGCACAGAATCAACACAAATAACACAACATAAATTGTAGCTATTGTGGCTACATGCCATAATTGTATAGTTATAGTTTATATTTTTATTAAATATATTTCCCTTTGTCTTCATTTCTATTGTCTTTCTTTCTGGAAGTTTCTCCCTAATTTTGTTTAACGGTGTAACAGCAGGTGACCCCTGAGTAACAAAGGGGAAGGTCTGTAACCCTCAGGGTATAATGGGGTCCAAGAGTTCATTCTGGAGGTAGTAGAGGACAGGAAAAGACATGTGAAGAAGGCTCTTGGGTTGTTGAACCGAGTGGAGATCAAACGGACTTTTCGAGGAGAAAAGAATACGGAGGCTAACGAAAACTGAGAAGGGGGTTTTCGTGCGTTTTAAAGTGTATAGTGAAGACCAAGAAAATTTCCACAGGAAAGAAATTATCTTTCGCCATGAATCAAGAGGCTCACCCCCCACTTACTACAATTCCCTGTGAAGCACACCGAAATCATTGGGTACCCGACTTCCTTTTTTCTCTCATCTTGATATTTCAATTCCTATCTTGTCTTAGACCTAATTTTCATCTTTAGATAATAATTAGCCGTAAGCTTAGTTATAAGGTATAATTGTATATTCTATAAGTAGAGTAGTCATTAAACTATGAAACTGTCGCGTTATATAACTGGTCTGTAAAAATTTTGTTACTGAATTTAAGTAAATGTTCAAGGGTAGAGATTGTAGCTGGCATCCGAACCACATTTTCGGTATTCTGTGCGTGAATTAAAGAATTTCATATCATAAAAGTTGTGTTTCTTTGTCTCTGGTATTCGCGCATCTCTCACACTATTTCTGTGTTTGTTATATCTATGGAGACTTGAGAGACTATGTGGTGATTTCTTGTAACCGTGAATGAATCAAAAGATGAGATAAGATTAATGAGAACATTTATTAGCTTACATACATCCAACTTGAATTTTATACAAATTGCGAAATTATACCCCGACTTACGCGAATTCGACTTACGCGGTCATCGCTCGGTCCCACCTATCGCGTAAGTTTGGGGTATTACTGTAATATTTTATAATCTTTTGCTTTTAGTAGATTTATGTTACTATTTTATTATTAATTTTAAGAAGTTTTCAATTGGATTATTTTTTCTTTATCATATCTACAGTGAAACGTGCTAATGTAACCAACTGCTTAAGTTGACCAGTTTGACGCTTTGACTTTTGACAGATTGTTACTGTGTGCAGCTATATCTCCATGGTGGGGATATATCTGCATACAGTAACTACCCATCTATTATAACCACTTCAGTCATCCCGAGATGTCCCAATTTACCCAAGAAATCACTTTGGGTAAAGTGACCATTAAAAAAAAATAAACAAAAACAAAACCATTTTTAAAGAATGTAATTCAACTTGTTGCAAATCACATTGCAAATATAAAATATTTGAAACCACTCTGTACTTTATAGGTAAAGAGTTTAAACTAAATATCCTATATTTTGGAAGCTTGAGTTAAAGAAATGGCACTTTGAAAAATTTTAAATTATCTGTATCATAAATTGAAAACAACACTAACAACACTAGTGCATTGCTAGTGTTGTTAGCAGCATTGGTAGAAAATTTTAAAGCTTCATATTGATCACATTGGATCACTATTGAGAAACCCTTGTTTCCCTTGTCAGAACATTCCATATTTTAACTTAGTCTAGTAAAATGAGTTAGCTTCGTGCGTGCGTGCATTTTTAATTCTAAAATGAGATTCATTATCTTCTTTATTTTTCAATAACTCACTCACTGACCCCAATTAACTCTTAGAATGGTGAAAAGATAGAGTTAAATCTTTAGCAGAAGTGCTTTTTGGAAGATATAATGCAAGGCAAACAGCTGAGGAGTTTGAAATTAGTAAGACGACCATAACATCAAAAAGAGGAAGCATGAGCATCTGGATAGGCTTCAAATTGAATCCAAAGATATGAGCAAGAGAAGGGCAACTGAATTTGAGTATAAATTCCTTAACTCTGAGATAGTATACTAAAATGAAGAAATTAAATTTAAGATTGTCTGGTCCCATTCTTCAAGTAATTACCCGTAAAATTTGCCAGCAAATTGTATCAACCTAATTTTAAAGCTTCATCTGGGTGGCTTGAGAGTTTTAAAAGGAAGAATAACATTTCATTGAAAGTCTTGATAGGTGATCCAAACCAAGTTGATCCTGATGTGGTAGAGGAGATTCCAAGCAAACTTTCATGATTTTGTAAGTGATTTTGAGTCAAAAAAATATTTTCAATGCTGACAATTGCAGATTGTTTTATAAGGGTATGCCTGATCACTCATCATTAAGGGAGATACAAGAAGATAGGAAAAATGTTAAAAGAACATTTGACAGTTCTGTCTGCAAGCATTACTTGCAAAAAACTCAAACCTATTGGAAAGTACACAAACCCAAGGTGTTTTAAAAACATTAAGTTGCAGCAACTTTCAGTAATGTGGCAATCTTGGGGAAAAGAGTGGATGAATAAAGCTGTTCATTGGATGGCTAAAGCATATTAACTTAACACTAATGAGAATACAAAAACAACACATTCTTATGACCATGGAAAATTTCCCTAGCCATTGATTAGTCCTGTGAAAAAATTATCTAATTTGATGCTGAAATTTCTGCCTCCAAACTCAACATTGATTCTACAGCCTTTGGACCAAAGGGTCATTAAAATTTCCAAGGCCTTTTACTGAAAGATCTTGCTAAAAGAAGTTGGGAAGAGATACAAAAGTTTAACAACTCTACATTGAAAGAAGTTTCAAAATTAATGTTTTGATGTAATCCTCTAGATATCAGATGCATGGAATTCCTTAAAGGAAAGCACAATTCAGAAAGTGTTTTCAAAAGGCTGCTTTCTACTGGATGGTGAAAATGATGAAAACCAAGAGGAAACCCTGCTGCAGATGTTACAATCTTGATTCCTGAATTGGAAAACACAGACAAATTTATTGACTTATGATGATATTGTGACAACTGTATTTGTTGATTTAGAAGGTTTTTGGAAGCATTCTAAAAGATATCAATAAGAGGAATGATGAAAGTAGTGAAGGAGGCCTGTATCAAAGAAGAGAAGCTCCTGCCTATATCCCACAAGAAAGTTTACAATATGCTTGAGAAAACAGTCTGTTGCTATGTGACTATTAGCTGTACTAAGGTTCTCATGCCAATATATCAAATAAAAAAAATTGCAGCTTATGAAATTTTCAAAAACAAACCTGAAGCAATTCATATTGACAAGTTTCACACAAAAAACTGAATTTGTTGCATTGCCTTTTCTTCTCTAAGTTTTTGTTTAAAATACTACATAATTGTTTTGTATTTTTTTCTATTTCATATTAAATTTCCTATAATCACACTTTCTTCTTATTTCTACTTAAGTGATTTCATTCAAGAACACCTACATTCCTCTTTCTGCATAAGATGACATCTGCCTAAGGTGACCACTTTGAGCTGGTCCCTTTGGTTTCACATTAGCAGGTTTGACTGTAATACTATATTAATAAACAAAACAAAGCTTACCTTCATTTCTGATAATTTTTTGTCTATGGCTCCAATTGCATTGTCTAAATCCATTCCATTCAGATCCAAGGTGCTAAATTCACCCATTCCAAATGGATCCTGTTTGTTAGATTGATCTGTTGGTATAAATGGTGTAGCTCCAAACAGATCTTTCTGACTATCTTGTTTATCATTTAATGTAGATGAATTATCTAAAACAAAATAAATGAATATTCACAAATTTCATTTCTTACTATCTGATATTCTAAATTTATTGTAACAATATTTTCTTCAGCAAAATTATGAAGAAAAATTACAGTATGTGCTGCAGACTGCAGACTTTTTTCCATAACCAAAGAACAGTAAGTATCCACTGTTTTCCACAAGTGGCAGAAGGGGAATTCAAACTTACAATTTACAAATACACCATTCGTACCAAATAATCTAGTTACTGAAAAAGTCTTTTTCTGTTTTTAATACTTCAAAAAACTTCAAATCTAAACAAGAACTAGCTGAAAACTGCTATTTGGTTGGTCATTAATATAAAAATTATTTTAAAATTTTCTAATAGTGTAGTTACATAACAGTACTTAAATAAGAAATGTTTATAAATAATACTTAAATTAATAATTATTACAGAAATTAAAAATTTAATATTTTGGTATTAAAATCTTACTGATATTATTTTCAGTGAAAAACATTTGTCCATTATTAATATGTCTGTTGTTCTGTGTGTTTTGAGAAACAGTTTGGCCATTTCGAGGATTGAAATCAAAGTCATCAGCAGGTGAAGTTTGATATAAAGATGAAAGTGCCAACAGATCCTAAAGGATTAAATAAATAAATTTGTTAAAAATTTAAATATGCAAAATATATTTAACATTATTACTGTCTAATAAAATGTTACTATTGTTAAAATTTTTAATTAAGTTACTATTATTTAAATATTAGAAATACGCATAAATATCTATATGCCAAGTTTATAAATATAATTTTTAATAGTCATTTAATTTCTGTTATCACAATAAAACTTGCAAATCTTATAACAGTATGTAATAGCATAAAGATATTTATTAACAAAAAATATTTCATGTCATTTTTACTCATCAATTTTACTATTATTATTATTATAAAGAATCAATCTCAAAAGACATGTTATAGTTCAAATTAGTTTTACTTAAAATCAAACAATGTATCATACTGTTAAAGTTTGAGGTTTTTTGTTGCAATTTTTATTGTTTTGTCAGTTATTTATAAATATATTAAAGTTAGGCACTGAATGAGTTAAAATATTTTTAAAGTAATAATTAAAGATTTTGGACAAGCCATGAAGAGAGTAAAAATGCTCTTATTCTACTTTAAACTGCAATATAGTTTGCATTGTAATCTGCAAACGTTTAGTCTCATTTTTTCATACTGTGCTATATTATATTCACCTATCATCTTATCATGATTAAACATTGAATCATAGGCAAACTCCTATCAAATTCTTAGGCAAACTCAATGTCAAATATCTTGTTTTATTGAGAAGAAACTTTTATAATTTTGATAAAATATCTATAGGCACACTTAGCAGCTAGAGTGTAATGCTCTAGCAACACAGAAAATGATTATAAAATGGTTTAAGTGCCATTGGAAAGAGAATCTAAAAATAATTTTTTTTTTTTTTTCAAAATAAGTGAACAGTTTTAGAGATATTGCAATTTAATAATTAAACTTTATGTACATACCAGTAGATGAGCCTGGCATTGCCCAGGCAAAAAATAACAACAAAGATTAACATTATTAGATTATTTCGTACTTCTAATCCTTCTATTCTAGTAGCTCGGGATGCCCCTAGTGGGCGTTCTAGCAGCAGCGGTGTCATTCCGTGGTATAAATAATAAATTACTATTACAAATAAAAATAATAATATACTGAATTTATTGTTAATTTAAATAATAGCTAGGGTTCCTCTTGTGGCCATTTTTGGCATACAGTGACAAAGAAAGAATCCAGTTTTTCAGTAGATTATATAGTGGCAACAGTCAATGAGTCATTGTGTGTTTGGCAGTATTCACTGGCATGGACCTAGGAACCATTAGCATGAATCTCATACTGATCAATTAAGATAGTCAACTGAAAATGCTAAATTTTCAAGCACTAATTCACAGTGCTTCATTTTCAAACTATGACAAGTTATACTACACAGTAAGGTATATGTATCGTAACATTTTCAAGTATTGTTGCAATGGATGGTTTATGTACTACTAAGATGCTGTTAGAGCATGGAAAAATTCATTGATGACCAGATCTAGTTGCATATATATATATATATAGTATATTCTCCAAACATATCAAAAACTAATGTTTCAACTACATTTCACATTTTAGTTACATACGAGGGCTGTTCGAAAAGTTCGCGGCCTTGCCTATATGCGGCGCTGCGATCAATTTAATTTTTGGCAGGAATAATTCAGCCATCCTTGCTAAAGATACAATAGCAATTTCCGTTTGATTTGTCGTACAGTTTTGCCACGACAGCTTAACAGATAGTCAATGTGCACATGCTTTGTCAAAAATGGAGAAGACAGAGACTCGTGCGGTCATAAAATACCTGACGAAAAAAGGGTTGACCGCATCTCAAATCAAAGCTGACATGGATGAAGTTTTAGGATAGTCTGCTCCTTCGTACACCACTGTGAAAATATGGACAGCCCTTTTTAAATCTGGCAGAGAAAGTGTGGAAGATGACCCTCGCAGCGGACAGCCGTCAACTGCTGTCACTGAAGAAAACATCGACAAAGTTCACGATTTGGTGTTAGCAGATCGCCGTTTGAAAACGCGTGAGATAGCTGAGATAACAGGCATCTTTGTAGACCTAAAGCACCACATCTAACCGAAAATTTGGGTATGACGAAGGTCTCAGCAAGTTGGGTGCCGCATCTGCTGACCTCTGAGCAAAGACGTGTTCGCACTTTGATGTCAAAGGAGTGTTTGGACTTCTACAAGAAAAACCAACGGGATTTCTTGCGTCGGTTTGTGACTACTGACGAAACGTGGATCCATTACTACACTCCTGAAACAAAAGAACAGTCGAAGCAATGGAAACACCACAGTTCGCCACCACCAAAGAAGACAAAAAAAAAACAGTTCCATCAGCGGGGAAAGTGATGTCCTCGGTTTTTTTGGAATGCTAAAGGAATCATCTTTATTGACTACCTAGAAAGAGGAAAGACCATCAATGCTGTCTATTACTGTATACTTTTGGAAAAACTGAAGAAAGAAATCGAAGAAAAGAGGCCACACTTGAAGAAGAAGGTTCTGTTTCACCACGATAATGCCAGAATCACTGAACAAAAGATAAACGAACTTAGCTTTCAATTAGTTCCACCGTGCTCACCTGATTTGGCCCCCAGTGACTTCCACCTTTTTCCAAATTTAAAATAATTCTTGGTTGGAAAGAGATTCCACTCAAATGACGAAGTCATCTCTGAAGTAAACGAGTATTTTGCACACCTTGACAAATCGACCTATTGTAATGGCATAAAAAAGCTAGAACATCGCTGGAATAAGTGCATTGCTAACAAAGGAGACTACATTGAAAAATAAAATAAGTTTTAACATTATTTTGTTTGTTGTTCTATATGAGGCCGCGAACTTTCCGAACAGCCCTCGTAGACTGATTGTAAACAACTGATTGAAAATAAATTAAACCAAGTTACTCTCAAATTTAGTTTTGTTTCTTTTAGGTTCTGGAAACAATATATCAGATCCCTGGACCTCTACAGTTTTATATATTAGATTTATATGTATAAAAGTAGAAAGTTAGTTTGTTCTCTAAACATGTTGACATGGTTTGAGCAAATTGAATACACTTTTCAGGGACTATCTTGTCATCCAGGATAATGACTGACTACTTTTGGTCAAATTAACTTCAATCTCCCAAACAGATTCCACTTTCTATCTAACCAGTAGGATGGTGACATTCAAATAAGAAAATTAGTTAATACAAATTACCAGAAATCACAAAATGTGTTTTTAGAGGGTTTTTGAGGGTAAAGTTTAAATATTTCATCTATTTTCATGAAATTTGATTGGTTGGCTGATTACCATTTAATATTTGATTGTGAATGGTATATTAGAGTTAACATTAAAAAAGTTTGAATATCATGAATTATCTTCTCACACAGGAAGTCGTCATTTATTTTCTATTGAAAAATATCAATTCCTGTCTACCTGACCAATGAAATTGCACCAGGCTTATGTAGCTTGCAAAAAAGCAATGTATTATTACAGTAGAACCCCCAATTTTCTAAGATAATATGGACTGATTCTACCTCAGATAACAAAAACTCTCAAAAATGGAAGGTCATAGCCATTTCCAATTAAAAATTACAAATATAAAAGATTTATATAATTTTAAGCCATTTTTCACATGTCATTGAATTTAATCTTATATAAGAACAACAATTTTAACACCACTTATTATATAGCTAATACATACAATAGTTTTAAGGAAAAAATGTGTACTTTTGTAGTTATATTTTAATACGAATGATTTGTCTCACTTTAAGTTAAATGATAAAGGTTACAAACAAATCATTGGGCTGCAATTTGAAAAAATTGTAAACCTATAAATTTCCACTATTGTCCATCTTTCCTTAATCTCTAGAGCAGAGTGATTAGATGAATGTTGAGACCAGACACAGAAAATCCTTAGCAGCAGGAGACCCCCAATTAACTATATATGAACTTCCAATGCAAAAAGAAAGACATGTTATTTCAATTCAAAACTTTTCCCCTGAAAGGAGTTAATAGATGACTGGCTTGACTCTCTTGCTAACAGGAAAAGTATAATGTACATGGTAAAGACACTACTAATTTGAGATGGAGAACATATATTTTAGATTACATAAATTTAAAAAAGTATGATTAAAAATTGCAACCAGGCATTGTGAAGATGTCACAATAAATAATTGCTCGTTTCATAATACATATTATTGTTTTAAATTTTCTTTTATAAATTATAGTTTAAGAAATGTAACGCATTCACTTACAGATTAGCATCAGATAATGCATAACTTCAGTTAATTGAAGCATAGATAAATCAGGATTCTACCTTACATAAAAAATAGGATTTCGTATCTTTAAGAAAAAACCTTATTTATTAATTTAATTACTTTACTTTTATTTGTGTTTTATTTGTAGTTTCTTAGTAAAAATCAAAAAATAAGTTTATTATGACAATGTCAAAACATTTTGTGTAATTTTATTTTTTCTTTGACATCTTGCTAACAAGTTGATTTTTTTGTTTAGAAAAGTATAAATTATTATTAAATGATCTTAAATTTTATATATTTACACACACATACATATACCTATATTGATTTTTAATACAAAAAATGCTGAACTCACAAATAAACTGAGGCAACTTAGCTCCCTGTATCTAAGGCTCTGTACTGTACAGTACATAAACTTAAGAGGAATTTTTCTCTAAGAATTTTGCTATTATGATGTCATTTTGAAGTATTTCTCTGATAACTGCTTTTGTAAATAAGATTTTATATGCATAATAAACAATAGCTCAAAGTTTCTCAATACATATGATAATAATCAAAATAATATATAAGGAATTCTCTCATAAATAACATTTATAAAACTTTTTCAGTTAGTTTAATAATAATCCAAAGAAATTATAGATAAAATAGAAAATTTATGGTATCTTACTGAAGAATTTATTGTTTCAAATTGCTCTAATTTTCTTTGTTTGAGCATTAGTAAAATTTTTATGAATAATAGTTTATTTGAAAAAATCAAAACAACAAAAATAATAAGTTAATAATGTAGCATGTTTAAAAATTATTTCAGAATAAAATACAATAATTACAAAAATATTTATAAATACAATACAATTTTATGATATAATTACATTAGTTTTAAGTTAAATTAGTTAATTTTTTTAATTTCCTGTTATTTTTTTTAAACTATAAAAATTATACATTTACAATTTTTAACTTTAATTTTTTTAAATACAGTAATTGACATTCTTCAGAAATAGTAGAATTTTACTTGAATAGAAAAATTACCTGAGATGGTAATAATGATGATTTTGAAGTACTGATAGATCCTTGATGTAGTCGAGGAGGAACTGGAGGAGGTGGTTGAAGAATAGGTGTCGTTCCCAAAACAGATGCATTGTGTGTAGAATTTGGCTTTTTATTATTAAAGGAATTTATCTCCAATATCTAAATAATATATATTAGTATAAAAATAAAAGTTATAAAAAAAGCTAATTTAAGAAAATCTAAATGGATTTTCAATTTTATTGCATTTATTCAGTTTAAAAAGTATTTCATTTAAATTTGCTGTAAGTATAAAAAAATAGTATTACAACAACTTTAATAATTTTATGCTTTTAACAAAGATTAGTTCATTTGTAACTAAATTATTATTTTCAAGCACTTTTCTAGTACTTTTCTAGTACTTTTCTAGTACTATACAGAAAATTTTTGGAGTAAATAACAGGCAAATTTAAAAACAGATTATTTTATAATAAAATTGAAAGTCTCAATGGTTCTAGAATTTCAATTATATCTTTAGAAAAAAAAGTAATGAAAAATGGTTTTACAGTTTTAAAAAAATTATTATTAATAATTTTTCTTTTATATAATAATTAAAATACTCGACTTTTAACTTATATATAAATATAAAGAATGCATACATTATTATTTGATTTATGACACTCAACATCTTTCTTATCTTTTCCTTTTTCCAATTCTGCTAATCTTTTCTTCAACTGTGAATTTTCTAATTCTAATTCTTGTACCTGAAATAATTCATAATCGTAAATGCACATAAAGAATATAACTTTTTCTTGAAAATAATTATTTTGATTTATTTAAAACATTTAAAATATTTTTACAAGGAACTCTTTAAAAAATCAAAATCTTATCATAAGGATTAAATTTTCTCAAGATAGGATGTTTATGTTTTAATAATAAAATCTATTACCAAAAATTTCAAATAATTTTATTTCACCAAAAATCTAAAATTTAAGATTTTGAAATCTTATTGCAAATCAAGAAAGTAAAAATACTCAAAACATTTTTTTAAAAATTTTCATAATATGCCTAGTATAAAATTATAACAAATTTAATAAAATTTCAAAATTAAAAATTTATAATTTATTAACAACATTTCATAAATTTTCTCATGAAAGTTCACAAATTATTTTATTTAGAACACACAGTAGAGTGTCATTTATCCGAATCAATTGGGGACTGGGGTAATTCGGATAACTTATTTTTCGGATAATCGATTATGTACGAAAAAATATATTAACCTATCCCATGTTGAAATTTTTCTCCATTGCGTGTCGCTTCACGTTGAATTTTTGTTGATGTTAAGCCTAATGTAAACTTTTTAAAATAATAATCATGGCTATTGTATCGTTAAAAATTATTTCTTTTATTTTTTACAAACAAAATAAATATATTGAAAAATATAAAAACAAAACAAAAAATATATATATATATACACACACACTTTAGAAGTTGATCTAGTATCAAAAACGTTCGATTCAGCACCACACAGTCCTCACAAAAACACCACACAAACGTGCCAGTGCTGCCAGCTAAAACACACACACGAACAAAAAAAAATATTGGAGTAGCCCAAGATATTGCAGCTTCACAGCACTAGTGAAAATTTAAATTTGCCGACTGGAATCCTTTCAGATAACTGACTTTCGGATAAACGACGCTCTACTGTATTTAATTTTAAATTATATTACATAAAAATTAAAAAAACTTTCCATCTACCTGAATAGAATAAATTACTTTTATGAATATGTGTATTGAAATATTTATTATAATTGTTAAATCCTTTAATCTATTATTATTATCATCATCCAATTTATTAAATCTATTACTTTTTAATAAATTGTTAAATAAATAATTGTTAAATTCTGAAATCTTTCCTTATTCTCTCTCATATTATTTAATTAACTTTATTGTATTACGGGGGCCTTGTTACAGGGGGCTAGAAAGATCAGTTTAATAGTATTGAATTTACAATGTTTGATAATATAGTCAAATAGATTCCATATAAAAAGATTGTAGTGGTGGCAATCAACGGAAAATTTATACAAATATACAGACTTTGCAAATATTATCGTAATAGTTGGTTAAACAAAAGTATTAACAATATTTCAATTGGCTGGTTATATGAATGAAAAAGTTATTTTATACATATATTTAGATGATAAATTATTAAAATTGGATCTGAAGTTTGTTTCTTGATTTCTATAAATTAATTCTTTAATTTGATATTTTTGGTGTGACTTCTCTAACGCCAGACATTCATTAAGGATATGGAATATAGAAAAGTTATTGGATTTACACCAGTAGCAGTCCTTTGTGAAGTCAATGTAAGTATTATTAATGATGATTGAACAAATTTGTAGTAGTAAAATAGACTGATGCCAAGGATGGTAAATCAAATTTAAAATTTTGTTTTGTTCTTCAAGAATAGATTGTGATATGGCTGATTCCATCATTAAGGAATATCCAAGTTTCCATTTATCTTCCAAGTTATCAAATAATAAAATAGATATTCTGAATGATATGAGAATTTTATTAAATCCAAAAGCCCATGTATTTTTAATAATAGTGGAATCGTTTATTTGAGATCTCATAATATTGTATAAAAATTTTATATCATCAATGGTATTTAGTAGATGATAGAAGAATCTGATCAATTGTTTTAGATAAAATGGAAATAATTGAAGTCTATTTATTTCGGATCTTATTCTCATATTATATTTAATCAATATTTTTAAAAAACTTTTTTCTAAATAATGTAAATTATTATTATATAATTCTATATGAAATTAGAGCATTCAACTGGATAATCACACATTAAAGAATTATGATATAAATTTAATGGAATAGTAAGTTAAATAATGTCACTTTATTCATAAAATAATCAAAGTTTAATTTTAAATTATATTACATAAAAATTAAAAAAACTTTCCATCTACCTGAATAGAATAAATTACTTTTATGAATATGTGTATTGAAATATTTATTATAATTGTTAAATCCTTTAATCTATTATTATTATCATCATCCAATTTATTAAATCTATTACTTTTTAATAAATTGTTAAATAAATAATTGTTAAATTCTGAAATCTTTCCTTATTCTCTCTCATATTATTTAATTAACTTTATTGTATTACGGGGGCCTTGTTACAGGGGGCTAGAAAGATCAGTTTAATAGTATTGAATTTACAATGTTTGATAATATAGTCAAATAGATTCCATATAAAAAGATTGTAGTGGTGGCAATCAACGGAAAATTTATACAAATATACAGACTTTGCAAATATTATCGTAATAGTTGGTTAAACAAAAGTATTAACAATATTTCAATTGGCTGGTTATATGAATGAAAAAGTTATTTTATACATATATTTAGATGATAAATTATTAAAATTGGATCTGAAGTTTGTTTCTTGATTTCTATAAATTAATTCTTTAATTTGATATTNCACAGGCTTCTCATATTCAAAATTTTTATTGCAAATGAAAAATTCTATTTTAAATTAAAAAAGTTAAAAATATCAAAGTGTTTTGCAAGTTCAAATTTGTTTTTACTCTGTCAATTTAATTTGCTTTATTATTTTTTAAAATCTGATTTCAGTTGTCAGTAATTATTTGCTTTAAATGACTGAAGAACAAATAAAATTTACTATATATAAATAAAGACAGTATTTAACTTATCTAGAAATTGTAAGTACAATAACTTTAAAAAAAATCAACCTTGTATTATTTACACATAAATACAATGAAGCATATCTAAATATCTTTTACCAATTAGTGATTTTTGCAAATATGTAGTAATTTATTAAAAGTATATTTAATCATGATCTGTTGATACTTCTAGAATGCAATCTGGCAACAATTTTTTTATAAATCAACTATGAGAAGCTAAACTAAACACATGTAATGCATGCATGAATTGTGTTTAGTTTAGCTTCTCATAGTTTTACTAAAAATTCTGTTAAATTTTATAAGAAACATTATTTACATGTTGTAATGAAGATAACACAATTTTATGAAATGCATAAAAATCAATGAAATCAGTTTTAAAACAATAAGACAAAAGTGCTGGTATATATTTATTAAACATTTGACAATATGTAGTCCAACTAAAAACAACACTTAAATTTATAACCAGCTGAAAATTGTAGAAAATTTATTTTCTATTATTTAATTTGTCATAAACTAATACTTAAATAATCTTCAAAGTAAGCAAATAATGATTAAGTTAATATTTTCACATTACCAGCAAAAATCATCATTAAGCATCCCATTTCGGACTTGTTCATAAAATTGTGTGTTCATAATGTGAAAATTATATCATCAGTTTCAGAATTTGAATATAAAAAAAAAAAGTCAAATATTTAAAAATACACAGATCGGTACATTATAATGTATATTTCAATTCAGTTATACATATCAAAAATAAATCAAATACACTGTACTTTTAATATTTTATATTTGTGTATAAAATTAATAAGAAAAATTACCTTTAACTTAGTTATTCCTTCTTTTACCACATCAATGCCTTTAGCTTTTCCTACTTCAGTATAGCCAAAGAACTAAATAAAATTTAGGTATATATTATTTATTTTAAAAAACTGAAAATTACCTTTTATAGTAAGAATGTGTAAAGAAAATACACACTTCATACAACACAAAATTACAATGCTACAATGCTATGTAACTATTTTTTAAATTAATATATATCAGACCAGTATCTTGAATATTAATTTATGTTATAAACATGTTTTTAATAATTTGTTTATTTTTAAATCTTAATAATTTAACTTCATTTAAAATAAATTTCAAAAAGTATCAAAAAAGATTTGGCTCAAATTGTCGTTGAAAATACATAAGGGCTTTTCTCATTTCTTTCAACTTTTCAGGAGAGCAATTTAAAGAAAAAGATCTTTCTTATTTTCTTTATAAATAAGAAACTACTGAGTATAAAGCACTGATTTCTGTACATTTTCATTTATAGGACTTCATAACTACTATAAACACACAATAATGAAGCAAGCAATAAAATTTATTATTTTGGAGTCTTATTGACAAGACTATGTCTTGTTTATAAAATCATACAGCCATTTTATGTTACCAGCATAGAAGTATGAAGGAGTACATGTCAAGAGTTGATATTTGGCACAGAGTATTAGGTGCCCAAATCATTTGCACATAAAAAAAATCCAGACTTGTAGGTAGTCAGGGGACCAAGAACTGAGTCAAAATAAAATACAAAATGGAGACCCTCTTCTACAAACAGGCAAAACAGGCACCTCACCCCACCGAAGTCAGGTGGGGGAGAGTACCACTCACAGTCATTCTAAAAAGTGAACTCTGACCTTAGGACTGAACACACAGTTTCTTCTATGTTAAATAAAATTTGTAACCTAATTTTGTAAATTTGGGAGGGCTTCAAATATGATGTTAAAACAGTTTTATGTCGTTACAAGTGGTTTTTAACATTATCTAGTATAGTAAAATTGTGGAGCCGATAAAAATTTGACGTTACATTAGAGTTGTCGTTACATCCAATGACGTTATAATCAGGTTAAACTGTATATTGTTTGTGCAAAATAAAAAAATAATTTCAGACGCTACAATAGTCACAATTTTATTTTTTTCAAAAACGGGAAATTTTCATTATGCATCGACAAAAATTCAACCTGGGCTGGCACGCAACTGAGAGAAATTTCGAAATTGGATGGGTTAATTTCATCACAAATGCATCATGTCCGGCAGAGTTTGAACAATCGTGTCCAAAAGCAGCAATACCAAAGAAGATTGGAGAATGAGAAGGAGACCTGCCTTGAGTGTCAAAATGATTCCGCTTAGTAGTGAGTCTCCGAGACATAGTCTTGTCCCAAATATGGTTTTGCCGTTTTACTTGTTTGAGATATACCTTTATGTTTTGCTAATAAGCTCTCTGCTGATTTAACAAGATATGCCTTTTAGAATTAAGACATAACTACTATTTAATATTAAAATTTGGCTCAAAGTAACCAAATCAACTGATCTCTATTAAAATAAAATGTTTTATATGCAATAAAAACAAAATGAAGAGAGACATTATTCTACTGACGATTTTTAATGACAACATAAAATCAACAATAAACACAAAAATATGAGTAAATTGACATAAGGATAAACTAAGAAGAAAAACGTAAGGTACAAAAAAAAAACTTTGGAAAAAGAAATGAACGAACTTGGTGATCAGATGGGCAAAAGTTATAGAAAGTAAGTGGATTATATTCTTGATTAAATCTGTTGTCACATAGAATGTATTGTTTAAAGTGTTTAATAAACTGGATGTTTCATAATTGACAACCAGATACTTGGAAGTTTTAAAAATATTTTATTAACTATTATAAATATTTANTTCTATTGGTGAAAATATTTTATAGCTTTAAATATAAAAAAATTAAAAAAATGGGTGTTCTCTGAACATAATTAAGTGTGTATTATTGTTTTCTTTTCTCTCATAAATAAAGAAAACAATTGTCAATTATCTATCCTACTTTAAATTAAGGATAAAAGAAAATGAATAGAACTGTCATACCAATTTATCACTGGAAAATACAAAACAACTGTGTCTTTCTGTGTCTGCTTCTTTTGCAATAAAGCTGAAAAATTTCTTGTCTGCCTTATCATCAGCACAATAGGATATACGATGCAAGGGATACTGATGATGTATTGTCTATAAAAAAAAATCATTAAATTTCAAATTCCACTTCTATATTTCACATAATATAATTTATGATAACTGATATAAAATTCAAAAAAATTAATTTTCAAACTTATTGATTACAAATCTCCCTCATATAAGCACAGTAGTTATGTTCCATAAAAGTGCCATGTTATGCAATCCATCTATATATATAAAAATGAATGTGTGTCTGTGTGTGCCTCTGTCTGTCCTTCATGCATTATTATACCATTTATCCGATTGCCATGAAACTTTGGGAAGTTGTTTAATACACTCCTGCGAAAGTTTCTGGCATAGTACATTTATGCTATAATAGGTGGAGCACGTGTATATGGGCATTTCATATATAAAGTTGACATGAAGAGTGCATGTGCATAAGTTTGCTTTATTCAAACTCTTCATCTTAATGTTCAATTTTATGTTTGAATTTATATTTATGAATGATTCTGGAAGATCCAGCTTATTTTTCGAATTTAGTAAACCTGAAGACTATTCCAGGAAGAGTTACAAAAACGTTTATTCATCATTTAGTGGTACTATGCACTGGTTCGTGGTTGCAGTGAGTCTTAATTATCATTATCCCGGTGTGGTAAGCAGATATCTAAAAATTTTCTAATTAGTCTCAGAAGAGGGAGGGACATTCTTGTACTCAATAAAACAGGTAAGATCGGCTATAATTTAATAATCTTAATCTTCGCTATCAATACTTTTTACCCAAGCAATGCCGGGCTCATCTGCTAGTACTATATAAAACAAACGACTAGTGCAAAACATAGGAATAGGTTCCAAAAGTTAACAAAAGTATAATATTCTTTTTTGTTGCCAAGAGAAATATGTTTATTAAAGCAATTGATAATTTATTTCTAATCAATAATTAACTAATAATGACAATTAAAAGTACAGTATTATGCATTAATATTAATTTTAGTTAAATGAGGGCATTTTCTTTTTACAAAGTATCATCATCTTGATCAGAAATATCGACATCTTCATTTTTTATTTTTATCATAAAAATTTTTTTTATGAATGACAAAATAAAAATATGTTATTAATTGAAAATTTGTTCTAGTGGATTGCATTTGTTCAGTCGAGTACAGTGATTTTTTTTTCTAGAATGTGTGTTCAAATGCTGAACTGTTCAAGGTGGGAACAGTTCAAGTACCAAGATACCACTGTATTTCATTTGTCATTTTTACAGATGATTACTTACCTATGGTTAAATAACCTTTAACATTATTTACCTGAAAATGTTTAAATAAACTTTACTGAATACAAAGATTAATCTATAAAAACAAAACACAGTAAGTCTTAAATGCCATACTGTACAATTAAAATTTAATTCTTAATTCAATTACTTTACAATTAACTTACTATTTCTATTCTCATAGAAAATATCAAATCAGGCTTATATAGTTCATTTAAGCCAGTGGTTTTCAATCTTTTTGAATTAATGACACTTCTATATAATCACGAAGTTTTATGACACCTTTATTATCAAATATGCAGGACTAGACAACAGGATGATTGCAATTGGCCAGTCTATCACAGAATTACTTTTAAAGTACTCAAAACTTTAATATAGCTACTGATGCTCAGTAATGGGGAATTGTGCTGACAGTTCCTCACACTGTAGTTGTCAGTTGACTTTTTTAAAAAAAAAGTCTTTGCTTTTTCTTTATGTCTTGACTGTAGCAATAGTTAAAAGACTATAAAGTACCTCATTTGAACCAACTTCATCTAGATCATCCTTTCTCAAAGTAAGCGATAATGCCCCCTTGTAGGCACTGGAGGCTTTCAGGGGGCAGTAGAAGGCTCGGTGATTAAATATGAATTTTATTTCTTCTCATTGAAACATTCTTTGATCTCAGAAATAGGATATGGGTCACACCCTATCTATCCTATCCATATAATAATGCATGTTTAAACATATTTGCAATAACTATTTTTAAGATACCTTTTTACATTACCATCTGTTGCATAAGTTACAAAATATGGGGGCACTAGATTTTTTTTAAATCTCAAAGTGGGCGGTGGTTGAAATAAGTTTGAGTACCTGTGATCTAGATCTTCATCTATGATCATCCCACCACAATCAGTAATACATCAAGAGGATCATGACACCATAAATATAGAATTGCACTGACTACACACAGATGTAGTGATAGATTTAGCTATGATATTTGTACAACTTGACTATGATACTGACTTGTACAAACTTCTAGAAACAATATAGTTCTGTGTTATTGTTAGAGCAATGATGAGGTAGTCCTTTAACTTATAATTATAACTTTATTCTAATCTAAGACTATATATACACTTCTTTACTCATCAATAACTTGGCATGCAACTGAACAATGGTTTCTTCCAGCCTCAAGCTGTCTTACACAGGTGTTGCCAGTTCATACATAGTTTGCTATAGTCACTCTTGCTCCAGTTTAGTATTTTCCAACAATTATCAACTGCTATTTATTTATTTATTTTTTTAATTTTAAAATTAAAACAGCAAATTTGGCACTTTTAAAATTTTATCAAATAACCAGCATCCTGGCCAGTTTGCCATTTTGTTCTGGTTATTTGATAAAATTTTAAAAGTGCCAAATACACAAGAAATAAAAATAGTGCAGCCTCGAGTAAAATGGCAATTTGGTAATTACTCCTCTATTACACTCACTGTTGCCAATCTAAATATTTCATATCTAGATCTAAGTACTTTTAGTGTTGTCTAGATGTTTTCCTGAAAAATTTATAGCATATGGTCTAATGAATTTAGATGTTTTATTTTGTCATTCAGTTATTTTTTCACAGAATTTATAATAGCACATAGCCTATAAGATCCAGATATTTTTATTTCATTGTTTAGATATTTTGTTTCAATTAGAGTTGGCAAGACTGAAACTTACACTGGTCACATCATTGCTGCACATGTCATATCTTATTTGAGTTCAAATTGCTGGTTGGCATTTGCAATTATTTCATACAGTATATTAAATTCATTTAATCTCTAAAATGCCAAAAAAAAACTGTGTGTTTAACGATGATTGAAGAAAAGTCTGTGATCATATTGATGAAGTGAAATACGAACTGTGCTTTTCAGAATTTTCAGTAACTCATGGTAAGAATTCAAACATTAAAAATCACTTGAAATGTGTAAAACATAAGGCAAGCAATAAGAACTTCCTCAAATGTATTGTCATATTTTAAATGTACTGATTTAAGTGACAAAGAATTTTTAAAAAGTTCACACTAGTAATAAATCTTAACAAGAAGATATGTTTAGTTCAGTTATTAAAAATTGCTTTTAACTCGTTTTTGTTAACTACTTTATTTAGCCTTTTCAATCATAGGTACTTATCCTAGTAGACTTAATTTTCTGTTGCGAGTATTTTCTCAAAATTGTCCCGGTTTGAGAAAATTATTATGGTAAGCCTATCTATAGCTAAAATATAAAACAAGAAATTTAGAACAAAACAAAATTGGAATCTAAAATATTTTTAAACTATATTGACGTTTTTTGCAATGTTATTGCTTAGAATGTTCATGCAAGAATAAAATAATGCATTTGTTACTTTTTTATATTTTAATACATTTAAAAGTAATAATTTCTAAAGAAATTTATCAAAAACTGTTATGGCTAAATGATGTTTCATTTGTGACAAATGTGTTTTATCTTATAAATATAATTAATTTCTTCAAAAAAATTGAGTAATATGTGAAAAAACTTTTTGTCTTAACTATTTGATTTGACTAAATGTGACCAATTTGTAATCTTATATAATAAGTTATAATATCTTTCTTGACAAACTTTTTATATTATATTCTGTAAAAATAATCAACTATTCAATATTTAGTTCTTTCACAATTTCTTAAACATTTAAGATTTTTGAAAATTGTCGTCAAAAATTTATAAATTTGATAAAGAAAAAAGGTTGAATTAAAAAGTTTTTCTTACATATTTACAATAAGTTCTATTTTTCCCTTTCTTGATAAAAATCTTTAGTCATATGAGAATAAAAAAAAAAACAAAAAAACAAAATTTGATATTATTTTGTATCTTACTTGTATACATGCAAAGTTAGAGAAAATTATGGAAATGTAAGTTAAGAAAAAATAAATGTTTATATTATTGATGAATGTTAAAAACAATGTTAAAAATGTTTTAAATTTATGTAGGAAAATGGGTACAGTTGAAGAAAAATATTTGTTTGAAATGCATCTTATATATTAATGTACTGTTAAATGTTTTTGTATTGTTAAATGCATTGATAATAAATGAAAGCATGCAATTAACAATTTTAAAATTTATATGTTAAACATCTTTTTGATGATACTGCATGAGCAAACAACAGTTTAAAATACTAAACCAGAACTTAATATCTAAGGGTATATTAAAATAATAAGTTTATAAAGTTTGTGTAAATATCTCTTGCAATAACATTTCTACAGGCATATGTACCTTTCCATTTGATTGCACTTTATAGAATAAAATATTATTGAGTTGATTATCATTATTTCATTTATAAAAATTTCATAAAATTACAGAATTTAAATTTTAACAAAACAGATTTATATCTTAAATAAATGTTTACTTTTGTTTTAGCATCTTGAACTCCAACACCATCAACTGAAATTGTTAGTTCTACTTTGGGAAGTTTTACTCCTTCAGACCTTTTTATCTGTTGGTCAAACTGAAAATAAAAAGTGAATATTTTATGTGAAATAATTTTGTTTTAAATTAAAATTTTAAAATCTGATACTTTAATAAAAATGTAATAAAATGAAAAATAATCCACTTGTTCATCTAAAACTCAATTCTTGTCAAAATACAGATCTCTCTTTTCAAAGTTTTTCAGGAAAATAAATCTATTGCTATCAGATTCCATTAGACATTATCTAATACAGCCGACCCCCCTATAACACGAGTTCATATAGTTCAGATTCCTATATCACAGCGAAAAAATTGCGACAGTATTCGTACAAACACTCTAAAAAAAAAACTCGTATAATTCGGTAAAACGTCATCGCTGACTCGTGTCACGACAGGATTGGTATAAAGTATAATTTAGTATAGTCATTAAAGTATAAAAACTTATAAAATTATTTAGTTTTGTTATTATTGATTCAGGGCATTGGTTTGTGAATCAATTTTTTAACATATAAAATGATATCTTAAAAAAATATCTTTAATTAAACTATTTAAATTTGTTCATGACAAATTGACTACTACATCATATTTATCCATTAAAATATAATGCAAATAACTAAGTGGCAGGACCAACATAAGTAAACATTTGATTTGTAAAGTAATTAATCACATTGTTCAGGGACTATCTATTTGTTTTCACTTGGTTTTTCCCAGAACACTGAATTATAATGTTAGAAGAGCATGCATCAATTTTATACATGAGCAAGAGTCATTTTTAGACCAGTTTTATCATGAATATGCAACTTGGTTCTGCACAGGAACTGTTTTCAGACACAGCCTTAGTTATCCACTTGTGCACTGGAAGCACTCAATGTCTGTACATTCTACACCATTGGTTTGAGATTCAGCATATTAGCAATTCTATTAAAACTTGCAGATTTCTTAAAGAGAAAACTGTCCAACTGGTAGCCCACAGGATCAAATTGTCATTCCTTAACTCAATGTGGTAAAAGCAGTAGATGCTTACCTACAGTTCTAAAAATCAAAATTTTGCTTGTCAGAGCAACCAAACAAACCAGTTCATAGATAAGATGGAATATCTCTATATAGTCTTCAACATCTTATTTAGATCTTGCATAATTACATATGGTGATGGACATGATTTGGCATCTGCATTTCTGAAGACAATGTAATTTCTTATACTGATTACAACTTTCTCATTGTAAGTATTGTACTGTACCAATGAAATTAAAATATTGCATTTAGAAACTCAATAAGTGTTAATTAACATCTACACATCTTGCTGTCACTTGAATTAACATGCTTATTTGAGAGTATAAAAAAGTTGTTTTATAGTTTTCAAATGGTTATCCATAAACCCATAATTAACACAATACTTCCATAGAAACCACAAAAAAAAATCTATAGTAACTGGATTGCTGATCTTTTCATGAAAATTTTCAAATAATTAAGTTACTTTAATCATTCTAAAAATGACAAACAGAAAAAAACTAAATCATACAGAAATATTTGAAAAAATAATTATTAATTGTAATAGTTTAAAAGATTAAATATTGACAAGTATTTTATACCAATACAACAAAACTATAAAATATTGATAATTATAGTTGTATAATCAAATTAATTTAATGTCCAACTACAGTCGACCCCCTATAACACTGTTGATAATTCCATTTTATATGAATTCCATGTTTTACGAGTCACTTAGATTTTACAAATACATGTGCCAGGCTGTGAACGGCTCATGTATTTGTAAACTCTAAATGACTCCTACAACATGGAATTGATATAAAACGGAATAATCAACAGTGTTATAGGGGGGTTGACCGTATTACAAATATTTTGTGCTCTCCATTGGCAACTTCTGATTCTTGTATCGTGTACATATTTGTATATACTTTCCGCGCATTATTTCTAATGTACGTTCAACTCTTCCTCCACTTGGCAGGCTCTACTTGGTCTATGTGACTTGTCTAGTACATTCATCTGTTACACTCATTGTATATTTTATATGTTCTATGTTAGAGTTTAAGCCTTTGTATTATATTGCTGTACCTCCACATAACCTTGTACCTTCCTACTGTAATTTGTATTTTATTGTATTTTAGATTCTCTTCATCACCATTACCTACTGTATAATTCTCTCTCCTACATTCTAATACTTACAGTTTACTGTAACTGTAACCCGGTAGTGCATCATGCAGAACTGGGTAAGTACTATGGTATGTTCAATAAACAATGAATGAATGAATGAATGTATTACAAATATTTTCACATTTATATTGATTAAATTTCAAAATTTCAATTTTATTTTCCATTTTCAATATTTTAACTGTCAGTTAAAAATTATTATTTATCTATCTTACCATTAAAATGTTAAAATGTGTCATAATTTATAAAGTTTCCACTTTTGTAAAATTATATAAATAGATTATGTAGAATCTAAAAATAACAATAAATTTGATAATAAGCATTTAATAATTAAGAAATTCATAGCTAAAGTAGTTAATAATAATAATATCTTCAAACTATGATGTTCAAACACTATTTTTATAAAACAAGACAATGAATGCTACTTACTGTCAATTCTTTTTCCTAAATACAAATTATTATAAATGATAAATCATCAATATCTAGAAATGATAATGCATAAATGAAATAAGAGCTAATTATTTAATTTTTAAAATTAAAACTAACATTTTCAAACTTTCCAATTTTACTAATGAAGTTATAAGCTATTACAGTGAGAATACTCTTCTACTTTACATAAATTTTACATAGTATCAAATACATATTTTATTAATATTAATTTCAGTAATAAAATTATAATATGAGAATTGATAAATAATGCATTTGACAATATACAGGAATAGGAATGAACATGCAAACCATTTAGTATGTTGTGTTGTCATGTATTAGCCAAGTTTAAACAAACTTCATTTCCTACAAAACAGTAGTCAGTGACTAAATTTTTAGCATTATTCCTTCCTTTGTGGAGGAATAATAACTTTCTAATAATTTTGGTAAAATATTGTAATATCTTCTGAACATTTAAATAGATATATTTGCAGAGTAAGGTGAAAAACATTCGTCTTTTCACCTTAGTGCAGTGTGATCTTGCATTATCATAGTGCATGGAAAACACTCATTTTTTTCATGCAGTATGATAATGTAAGATCATACTGCAGTAAGAAAACAGCAAAAATACAAGAAGCTAAAGTTTCAGGTTATACAGCCCAGATTTAGAACTGACAGTCTTCTTAATTAACAGTGATGTTGAAAGATTATCAGATGCCAAAGTTCAAGCTGCTGTGTGGGAATGATCAAAGAAAAAAAAAACCAAAAGATTTTTTATGTTCAGAATACAAAAAGATCATTTGGAAATATTGTCATTTTAAATAGTAATTACATATTTTTATTAATTATGAATAAATATGTATTTTTATAACAGCAATCTTTATGTGACAATTTTTAAAAATTGGTCACATTATTTGCTCTTCCTAAACTATTTTATAAAAATGGGAAATTTATTTAGCAAACAACTATTGTACAAAAGACCTTTATTCCTTTTTGAACATTTTACATAAAGATGATTTCATAAAACCAAATTTTACATCATAGCATAAACTATGATTTTATCAATTAGCAACAATAAATATTTTATTGTTGTCATTTATATATAAACAACTAATATATTTATTTGTTTTGCCAATCATCATGTACATCAGTGTTTCTCAACAGGGGCAATATTGCCCCCATGTGAGCGTTTTTCCATGTTGAGGGGCGATTAGTAACAATTTATATTTTGGGGGAAAAAACAATTTTCTGGGCAATATAGTAAAACATTATATTAAGAATAATTAGATATTTTATTTGTTATATCGTACAATAATTAAACAAATAACATTATACTAGTCACTAGTCTATTCAATGCAGTACAAATTTAACGTTAGCCTTGGCCCTCGGCATTGGAATTTTGAAGTGAAGGGGGCGATACTACGTTGAAGGGGCAACAATTCATTAGAGGCTGAGAAACACTGATGAACTAGTACATCACTTCATTCAGCATTAAACACAGGCTTCTCATATTCAAAATTTTTATTGCAAATGAAAAATTCTATTTTAAATTAAAAAAGTTAAAAATATCAAAGTGTTTTGCAAGTTCAAATTTGTTTTTACTCTGTCAATTTAATTTGCTTTATTATTTTTTAAAATCTGATTTCAGTTGTCAGTAATTATTTGCTTTAAATGACTGAAGAACAAATAAAATTTACTATATATAAATAAAGACAGTATTTAACTTATCTAGAAATTGTAAGTACAATAACTTTAAAAAAAATCAACCTTGTATTATTTACACATAAATACAATGAAGCATATCTAAATATCTTTTACCAATTAGTGATTTTTGCAAATATGTAGTAATTTATTAAAAGTATATTTAATCATGATCTGTTGATACTTCTAGAATGCAATCTGGCAACAATTTTTTTATAAATCAACTATGAGAAGCTAAACTAAACACATGTAATGCATGCATGAATTGTGTTTAGTTTAGCTTCTCATAGTTTTACTAAAAATTCTGTTAAATTTTATAAGAAACATTATTTACATGTTGTAATGAAGATAACACAATTTTATGAAATGCATAAAAATCAATGAAATCAGTTTTAAAACAATAAGACAAAAGTGCTGGTATATATTTATTAAACATTTGACAATATGTAGTCCAACTAAAAACAACACTTAAATTTATAACCAGCTGAAAATTGTAGAAAATTTATTTTCTATTATTTAATTTGTCATAAACTAATACTTAAATAATCTTCAAAGTAAGCAAATAATGATTAAGTTAATATTTTCACATTACCAGCAAAAATCATCATTAAGCATCCCATTTCGGACTTGTTCATAAAATTGTGTGTTCATAATGTGAAAATTATATCATCAGTTTCAGAATTTGAATATAAAAAAAAAAAGTCAAATATTTAAAAATACACAGATCGGTAGATTATAATGTATATTTCAATTCAGTTATACATATCAAAAATAAATCAAATACACTGTACTTTTAATATTTTATATTTGTGTATAAAATTAATAAGAAAAATTACCTTTAACTTAGTTATTCCTTCTTTTACCACATCAATGCCTTTAGCTTTTCCTACTTCAGTATAGCCAAAGAACTAAATAAAATTTAGGTATATATTATTTATTTTAAAAAACTGAAAATTACCTTTTATAGTAAGAATGTGTAAAGAAAATACACACTTCATACAACACAAAATTACAATGCTACAATGCTATGTAACTATTTTTTAAATTAATATATATCAGACCAGTATCTTGAATATTAATTTATGTTATAAACATGTTTTTAATAATTTGTTTATTTTTAAATCTTAATAATTTAACTTCATTTAAAATAAATTTCAAAAAGTATCAAAAAAGATTTGGCTCAAATTGTCGTTGAAAATACATAAGGGCTTTTCTCATTTCTTTCAACTTTTCAGGAGAGCAATTTAAAGAAAAAGATCTTTCTTATTTTCTTTATAAATAAGAAACTACTGAGTATAAAGCACTGATTTCTGTACATTTTCATTTATAGGACTTCATAACTACTATAAACACACAATAATGAAGCAAGCAATAAAATTTATTATTTTGGAGTCTTATTGACAAGACTATGTCTTGTTTATAAAATCATACAGCCATTTTATGTTACCAGCATAGAAGTATGAAGGAGTACATGTCAAGAGTTGATATTTGGCACAGAGTATTAGGTGCCCAAATCATTTGCACATAAAAAAAATCCAGACTTGTAGGTAGTCAGGGGACCAAGAACTGAGTCAAAATAAAATACAAAATGGAGACCCTCTTCTACAAACAGGCAAAACAGGCACCTCACCCCACCGAAGTCAGGTGGGGGAGAGTACCACTCACAGTCATTCTAAAAAGTGAACTCTGACCTTAGGACTGAACACACAGTTTCTTCTATGTTAAATAAAATTTGTAACCTAATTTTGTAAATTTGGGAGGGCTTCAAATATGATGTTAAAACAGTTTTATGTCGTTACAAGTGGTTTTTAACATTATCTAGTATAGTAAAATTGTGGAGCCGATAAAAATTTGACGTTACATTAGAGTTGTCGTTACATCCAATGACGTTATAATCAGGTTAAACTGTATATTGTTTGTGCAAAATAAAAAAATAATTTCAGACGCTACAATAGTCACAATTTTATTTTTTTCAAAAACGGGAAATTTTCATTATGCATCGACAAAAATTCAACCTGGGCTGGCACGCAACTGAGAGAAATTTCGAAATTGGATGGGTTAATTTCATCACAAATGCATCATGTCCGGCAGAGTTTGAACAATCGTGTCCAAAAGCAGCAATACCAAAGAAGATTGGAGAATGAGAAGGAGACCTGCCTTGAGTGTCAAAATGATTCCGCTTAGTAGTGAGTCTCCGAGACATAGTCTTGTCCCAAATATGGTTTTGCCGTTTTACTTGTTTGAGATATACCTTTATGTTTTGCTAATAAGCTCTCTGCTGATTTAACAAGATATGCCTTTTAGAATTAAGACATAACTACTATTTAATATTAAAATTTGGCTCAAAGTAACCAAATCAACTGATCTCTATTAAAATAAAATGTTTTATATGCAATAAAAACAAAATGAAGAGAGACATTATTCTACTGACGATTTTTAATGACAACATAAAATCAACAATAAACACAAAAATATGAGTAAATTGACATAAGGATAAACTAAGAAGAAAAACGTAAGGTACAAAAAAAAAACTTTGGAAAAAGAAATGAACGAACTTGGTGATCAGATGGGCAAAAGTTATAGAAAGTAAGTGGATTATATTCTTGATTAAATCTGTTGTCACATAGAATGTATTGTTTAAAGTGTTTAATAAACTGGATGTTTCATAATTGACAACCAGATACTTGGAAGTTTTAAAAATATTTTATTAACTATTATAAATATTTATGTAATTTTTATTATCAATAATAAATATTAATTACTATTGTCTTAATAAAATAAAATTATTTAATAAAGTTAAATACTTTTATTTAAAACAATTGTATCATAGTAACTATCTTGATCAATCTTGCAAGAATTTTAACATATAATATATACATATATTATATCTTAAAATTCTTGTAAGATTGATCAAGATAGTTATTATGATACAATTGTTTTTATTAATACAATTTCATATATTAATATACATATTATGTATATTAATAGATGTCTGCTTGTGTGATACTTCTCTATAACATGTGTGACTGAGTATATATATAAAAATATTTATTATATATATATATATATATTTTATAAATATTTTTATATATATACTCAGTCACACATGTTATATATATAATATATATATCTAAGTAAACTTCAAGACATCATATCTTAAACATGTGTATATTCAGTCACAAAAAATTTAGAGAGAATATAACATTGGTTTAATGTAAAAATAAGATTTAATTGATATTTATAGAGAAAAGTTTTCTAACTTAAGTTTCACACAACACCTATCAATATCCCAAAAGAAAAATGAGCTTTAAAATGAAAGCATTAATCAACTCATTTTGCATAATAAGCATAATTAACATGTTCTGTAAAAACTATTAGCCACATTGTAGAACTTTCAAACTGAAGGGTGAAGCCAAATAATATACAACAAACTAATCTTGTAACTTCAGCAAATATACCAGTATGTTTAAAATTTTTTCAACCTCTTCAAAGACTATCTTCAGGTAACTTTCCAAAAAAAGAACACTCCAAAAATTCTAAACATAAGACTTCCAAAATAAGATTGCTTTGAAGCTTCAAAGATGCATAATCAATGATTGAACATTAAAAATATAACAAATTTAATAAAACCAGAATTATAATTCAAAAATAGATTTCCATGCTGTAGAATGTTTCGGTCTTCAAACTTATTCCAATGGAGAGCCAGCTGTATTAAATAAATCTCTAATTGCCACAAACCCCAGGATTGATGATTTGTGGGATGAGACCTTTAATTTGTTCTACCAGGGAAAGTAGCAGTCTAAAGTCCTTGGAACAAATGGCAATTTATTTGTCCCAATGGAGGACCAGCTATATTAACTTTAAATATGAAACATTTTGTGAGGATCTGGTCAAGTCCAAACTGCTCACAAAAATTTGCATTAAAAATTTTTCAAAAAATGAGGAAATAGAAACACATTTTAGTATGAAAAATGCAAATCAAATATATCTTATAATATAATCAAGATGGGTTGATAATGATAATAATAATAAGTGCAGAGCCCAAATAGTTAGGAGTTGAAAGTTGAAATTTTGTACACAGTTAGGGTACATCATGAGAATGTACACTAAGAAGGGATTTTTTGAAATTCCCCCCGCGAAGGAAGAGGGACAGGATTAAGGCTTACTGTGAATAACTTAGTAAGCCTTACTGTACTATTTTAGATGCCTTTCTTGCATTTATGCAGGAAATTGAAACTATTTTTAGACCCTTCTAAAAATTCTCAACAATATTTAGTGTTCCATCATATATAAAGTTGATGCGGGGAATGCATGTGCATAAGTTCACTTTATTTGAACTCCGTCTTAATTTTATTTTCGAATTTATATTTAACCTATTCGATGTTGAATATTTTCTCTGTCACGTGTCACTCCATGTTGAATTTTTTTCGATGTTAAGCCTAACACGATCACACGTTTTAGAAAAATAATAATTATGGTTATCGTATCATTCTAAATTACTTTATATTTTTCACACACAAAATAGACATATTAAGGAATGTAAAAAACAAAAAATTTTATTTTAGAAGTTAATTTTAGTGTGATATATCTCAAAACAAGGAACAACACATAGTGGTACATTACATTGTACACATTGATAACATGATTCTGCACGCTTTTTGTTAGCCGAACATACTTTAAATACTCTGGATGGAGCTTTTTTTTTCTGTAGGTGATATAAAACTGGGAAAATGCCGTTCGGATAAACGTAACGGATTTTCATGTGACGGTTGACCACGGTAGGCTAGATGTCTGCTTGTGTGATACTTCTCTATCACTTCTCTGATAACAGACATACGAAAATCTAGAAATGATATTTGTTTTTTTGTATGTTTTCGATATAAAACACAAGCATTATATAATGTAATATCCATCATATGAAAAAACACTTTCTTGTACCATTTTACCATTTTTCTCATGCATGGATAATTGTGTATTACTCTGTCACAGAGATCGATACCACCCAAATTGCGATTATAATCCAAAATACAATTTGGCCTCTTTATTACTTCCCCAGATCTGTCACGTTTACCCGAATTAGAGAATTTGTTGTCACTCATTGCACTTACAATTGTCACAATTGTCTTTCCAACAGAACACAGACAATTCATCTTTTTGACAGGTGATAAATTCCCCTTCCTTCAATTTACTGCCAGGAAAATTACGTAGCATTCCAATCCGATTTTTATTTACTGTTCCACATACATAGGTTTGTTTCTCTAGAAGCATTTTCGCTAAGGTTGGTGAGGTGAAAAACTTATCTAAAAAAAACCTTGTGATTTTTACCGAACAACGGTTCTAATAAGGTTAGCACAACCTTCTCCCCTTCCCACCTTCAAAATTTCTGTAGTCAATAGTAGCTCCAGTGTAAACTATAAAGTCCCAAACATATCCTGTTTGCGACTCACAAATTTTGAAGCTTTTCACTCCAAAACGAGCATGCTTGTTCGGTATATATTGCCTAAATCCCAACCTCCCTTTCCATAGCATAAGACTTTCATCTACACAGATATTTTCCTCTGGGAGGTATGCATTTTTGAACTTGTGGCGTAAATGATCGCTAACACTGCATAATTTATGCAGTCGATCATCACCACCTGAAGCTTGATTATTGTCTGTGAAATGCAGACAGGACAATAAGAGTTGAAAGCTCGACATCACACTTGAATAAAAATGGAGTCGAAAAAAGATCTTCAATTGTAAAAGACATACTTAGGCATGGTTTTCTAATTATACTTGTAATCATTATAAGTCCTAGAAATTCTCTAATTTCTGGATTTGTCGTTGGTTTCCAGTTTTTTATCCTATTCTCTCGTAAATCATCACAGTTTAGCAAACTATCACTATACCGTTACCAAGGATGTTCGTTTCTGAAACAATCTTGTCGACAAGTTTGTCATCAAAGAATACACTAAAACAATCAAATGGTGTAGCATCACTCTGTAAATCACAATGTATTCCTGATGGTCCCGTAAAACTGTTCACTTGGGGATGTCTGAAATTTCTTCAAATCCATCTGTCGTTACTACTAAATCGCGAACGTTTAGCAGTATTACTTCGAGTACTGCCGCATGATCTGCCTCTATATCTACTCATAGATGGTATTTCAGGGTCAAAATCATCACTGTCATCACTTACATTTTGATCTGGTATGTAATCATTGTTGCTGTCTGAAAATTCAGATTCATCAGAACCTAAATTAAATAAATATTCGATAACTTCTGACTTATTTAGAGCACTATATCTACTACTTGTTGCCATGTTGAATGACAGATGAAATGGTCTAATTTTCTTTGTGATTTCTAACAAAGAACTATTCCTAGAATTTTGATAACCTGCTGAGCAAAAACTAAACAATATAACTGTTCTTCTGATATGAATTACTTATTTCAAAACTCCATACAAGTAGCGACATCTGATGTTTAAAAAACGTTCCAATGCAAAAACGAATATTTCCAGGATTGACCTCCGAGGTCAATGAGGTCAACACGGATATTTTCAGGAACAACACTGGACAAGTTAAGAATGATTCTGAAAGATCCAGCTTATTTTTCAAATTTAGTAAACTGAAGAATCACCCAGAAAGAGTTACGAAAATGTTTATTATTCATCACTTAGTGGTACTATACACCAGTTAGTGGTTGCAGTGAGTCTTAATTATCATTATCCTGATGTGGTAAGCAGATATCTAAAAATTTTTTAATAAGTCTCAGAAGAGGGGGACCTAATTCTTGCACTCAGTGAAAAAAGGGAAAAATCAGCTATAAGCTAATAATCTTAATCTTTGCTATCGTTACTTTTTATCCGAGCAACACCAGACTCATCTGCTAGTAAATAATAAAAGAATATAAGTCATAAGATCAACTATCTCCAGTTGGGATTGAATTAAATGTCAATTTTTACTTCTTCCAAGACTAAATTGAAATCTTGTTACACATAGTAATGAGTGAGCTGAGTGAGGTACCACATAGAAAGCAAGAACACAAAAAAGCAACCAATTAGAATGGTGATCAGGAACAGAAAATAATAAAAACCCGAAATTTCAAGGATGTGATAGTTTTTTTCCCCCAAAAATTCCAAGTGTATGGTCATTTGGTTTTTTGGTGTGTGTGTGTGTGTGTGTGTCTTGTGTCTTGTGTCTATCTTCATCTCTGTCTCCCTTCCTCAGATTGATATCTTCCCATCACCAGAAGTCAACTGCATCATCCTGGAGCTGTTGAGATATCAAAGGAACTCTCATTTGTGAACCAGGATACTCCTTCATTTGGGACTATCTTGGAAAGGAGAGAAAAGCCCAGAGACAACCACCAACTTTGAACTTCCAAGATTGCAGAAATCTTGTTAGCTTCTTTTGTATCAAACAGTTTGTTGTAACCATCAAAACTGTTCAGTGCCAGTCACACTCACATACAATCCTCTTGATTCCCATCCATCCTGACCTTGGTTACTCCTTATTGGCAGCCTAAATTTCCAAAGCATAGAAATTTATTTTCAAAGTATAGTTCCTCTTTATTAATTTTTATTTTTTGTCATATTTTTGTGTGAATACTGGTTATGCATCTTTAAAATTTTGAAGTCTTCTTCTTTTGGAAGTCAGGCATTCAAAATTCTAAGCAGTGTTCTTTTTTGGAATATTAACTGAAGATGGTTTTTAAGACATTGAAAACATTTGTTTTAAACATATAATTGCTGAAGTTACAAGGTTAGTTTGATATTTTTGAACCATGTAATAAAGTGGATTACTTGTAAATTATGAGTTGTGAAGTAGCTGACTATCATTTTGTTAATTGAAACAACAGAAGACATTGTTTACATTTAAGTATCTTGATTCATCTAATAGATCACTACTAACAAAGAGCTGGATTCCTTTATCATCATGCTATTAAAGATAAATAAATACCAAGTAATTTGCAAGAGGTAGACAGCCTAACTGCCTACTCTTGCAAACTTTGTTAAACTTAATAATTATAAATCAATTTAATTTAGCTTTAGAATATTCTGCAAAAAAACATCTACAATAAATAAAATATCTTTAATGAACCAAGATTCTCCAATGAATTTAAATAACACTAAATATACAAACCTTAACTAAATAAGCAACATGTCCTTGTTGTAAAGCTTCAGGAGGATGTACCCAATTCTTATTTGCTAAGAAAAATAAGGTTTTAAGTTAACATTCAATGTGAATTTATATGGATATATTACAAAATTGAATTTAGAAAATATAATAAAACAAAGAATATGAATAGATTTAAATTTATTCAGTTAAATAGAAAGAAAGAAAATAGATTCACTTTCATTCTCTATTCTATTCTACAACAAAAATCTGTTTAGATCATCTTTATTGGTTTCATTAAATATAGATAAAAATCTACATTCTATAATTTAATTTTAAAATAATAAAATCTATAAATATTCTATTCACAATTTAAGAAACAAGCATTCAAGCATCTATATACAAATTTTTTTTATAATTAAATTTTAAAATTATTTTAAAATAAAATACCATAATTTTAATTAATGTCAATTTGAAAGCAGGTGCGTATTATCAGACAATTTTTAGCTATGAATTCATCCAACAGAATTCATATCTATGAATTCAGGATTTTTCTTTTATTTAAAAGTTTTGTCTGAAGTATCTTCAGAAAACCATAAACATGTTCAGTCCAGCATGTGTTTTATTACCAACATCTGTTTTATCATCATTTCAGATGTTTAGTGCTTTATTTGTAACTATTTCACTGTATGCATTCCAGCTAAACCTCTCCTCACTTTACAAGTCTTTATTTATCCCATTCTACTTTAAGTGTACAAGATGCAAAGTCAAAAAGTTCCAGGACTGGTGACATGGTACTACAAATGGCCACGTACTGAATTTGCACATAATGCATAATAGACATTATTTAGCTTCCCAACAAATTTCATATTTATGTAGTTTTTGTTTCTTGCTATTTAAATTAGATCCATGCTTTTGTCCATTTTCAAAATGAAGTTTTCTTAAGGAATAGCTTGTTTGAATGAAATTTTGTTTCAAATTTGGCAAGACTGCAACAGAAAAACTGATTACAGGAGATGAAACATGGATTTAGAGCTATGACACAGACCAAACATTATTTGATTCAGTGAAAAAATCAACTCATCCAGACTAAAGAAAGCACACCAAGTGAAGTGCAATCTCAAGAACATCTTTATTGAATATATGGATGCTCTGTTTTTCAATAGGAAAGGAATTATTCTTCGAGAATATATTCCACAAGGTCAAACTGTGAACAAAGTTTTTATATGGATGTTTTGAGGCATCTGTATAAAAATGTAAAAAATCAATCTTTGGAAAGCTCAAAACTGGTTGTTGCATCATGACACCACCACCCTAAAACAGCTCTCTCTATTCAAGTTTCTTGCCAAAAATAAAATGCCCATGGTTCCCCATCCTCCTTATCAGATTCAGGACTGTGCGAATTCTATTCCCATGGCTGAAAAAAGTGCTGAAAGGACGGCAATTTGAGAACCTTGATGACATTCAAATAGAATTGCAGAGAGTGCTGAACAAAATCACAAAAAGAGTTCCAGGAATGTTTTGAAAACTGGGAGCAGCTCTGGAATCTATGTGTAGCTGCAGAAGATACTTACTTTTAAGGTAAAAATTCTCAATAAATTAACATGTCAGACATTTTTTATTGGACCAGTCCCAGAACTTTTTAACTGCACCTTGTATGCTGCATGATTTCAGTCTTTGCTTTTGTTAAAGTCAGAGTGAATGTGATTATGTTTAGTATAGATAAAGAAGTGTGTATCACACATTTTGGATATAATTTTTTGGTGAAGTTCTCATCATATGAAACAACCAAAGATAGGCAGACATGTACCTTGCCTTTAGTTCACTTCTGTTCATTTTCTGCATGTCAATTTATACTTTATTTTATTAGACACTCCCACTTAAACTCTCATCTTGAAGCTAATAAATTTCCAGTATTTCTCCTCTAAATATAGTGAAAACAATTTATTCTAACTAATTACCAATTTTATCCTATATATATCATCCTGTGTGATTTTATCTTATGTATTAATAAATCTATCCTTCAGTGAGTAAAGACTACGCAACTGACTCAAACATAACTCAATGCAAAATGTACAGTACATTGAAAGCAATTAACACATATCCTCCCAGTACTTGAATATACTTTTGATCTTATACATAAGACACTCAGAAAACTAGAATAACTGTAAAGGGAAATACAAATGACATTAACAAAACCACAACAAATTTTTCATAGAAATGCTGACTGTTCCTCTCAAGAAGAACAAGACCTTACAGATATAGTAAGTCTTCACAAACAAATAGTTTTCCTATATAAAACAAGAAACATTACAATTACATAAAGCTGTAACTCTAGTAGATTACAGACAAAAATAATTTACATTTGAACCTAAACAATACTAACCTGGATCTATCACAGTATACAAAATGCACAGAGTCATGGGTATCTGAAGGAGAACCACAATAGACACCCTAATGATCTCAGCCAGGATCAAAAGTGATAGAACTCTGTCAAACTGCTGGTTGACACAGGGATGACTTTTTGGAGAAATGGAAGGATTCATAATTGCCATATGAGATCAGATCATGAATACAAAAAACAATATATGACACATTTTAAAAGATGACACTTGTAGGAAATTCCATGTAAGTACACAAGACTATTCAACACATTCCTTTTCAATTTAGATATAATGATGATGAATAGGATAGATTTAAATAGATAAAACTAAACTATGCATATTATATGAAATGATAAAATATCATTTTGTAATTAGAGAGATTCAACTTACTTGATTTTGAGTTATTTTTGTTATTTTGAGTCCATTTCATTAAAGATTGACGGCTGAGCATGTTGACAAGATTTTTTGAATCTTATATACAATTTGCCTTTCAGATGGAAGAAAAAATTATTTCAATGAAGATTTTCAGTAAATAAATTGAGCATTTTGCTGAAAAAAATTTTTTTAATTAACAATTTTCAACACTGCAAAAATAGGATAAGATTAAATAAGAATACTATGATAATGTTTAAGAATTTAAATCATTAACAATTACAATTATAAACATTCATTTGTTTAAAGTATTTTTAAAATATTAAAAATAATTCATTAATTTTAATATACCTTAATATAAATTATCTTCTACATGATTAAAAATGTTAAAATTATTTACAATTTCATTAAACTGAATATTTCATTTATATGTAATGCATATAGATTACAATATGTCAATTATTAAATTAACGTTTAATTCATAAATACAAATTGAATTTAAAATATTTCATGATTTATTATTTACATAATAATCTTCATAATTAACAAATATCCACTTTTTCTGCAAAATACCCTTCTTTTATAAATTCTGCCATAATAAATTTTTGCATAACTAAAATTAATATTCTTTTGACACATGGAAAAACTCCCCGCTATTAAAACGAAAGTATGTTAAACTACATAGTTTTCACTCAATTAGTAAAGCCAAATCATATACAGTGTGTCCCAAATTAAACTTGATATTCCCAGCTTGCTACAGCAGAAACTATTTATCAGAAAATCATGAAAGTTTAAGAATGCCTTAATGAGATGAGGGAATATTTCTAGAGCAAAAAAGTTTGTTCCAAAAACCACCACTAGAAGGCATAGTATAGCTTTATACAAAACATAATGAGCTACACAAGTTATTTGTCTAATGTGAACAAAACATGTTCAAAACATATGGCCACCATTGTCTGCTACCATCTAAAATCATAAAACAGTATGTTCAACAGCTGCATGCAGTGTGTGACTTGGTATGTTATGAATATGACATGCTATGATGTCTAAGTTCTGACAGAGGTATTAGGAATCACTTTGACTAGTAATAAAAATTTTTATTTAAGACTTTTGCTACCAAAGGAAAAACAGAACTGTACATGGAGTAAATAAGAAGTAATGAAGAAAACAAAAAGTAAAATTTAATAATAATTTTTATTCTTAATCAATTTCAATTATAGTTCAATATTTTGGTCTTGCAGATGTTCGAAAAACTGGATTCTGTGAACTGCTTTTTTCTAATTGGAATGCACATATCTTCACAGATTTATGACATGTGAAGCATTATTTGATCCTTCAAAGTTGCTAAATTATCCCATGTTTTTGGTTAACCAACTTTTTAAATATCCCCACAACCAAAAGTCCCAGGGAGTGAGCTCATGCGAATCAGTCTGGCTAAACCAGAACTAAAAAAAACATTTCAAAAATAGATTTACTCAAGTCTATGCAAGATTTATTAAGCACTATTCGTAAGTGCTTATCTTGTTAACTAATTAATGAATTAATAATTTTATTCATTCTTGCTATCAGAAAATTAGCAATTAAGATATGATAAAATTATCATAAACTTTTTTCAACAACAAAAAAATTAGCTGTGGTCAATATTTTGTGAAAATACCAACTAAAGTCTATAAAAACAAAATGTGTGTGGAATAAAAAAATCCAAGGTAGAATATTTGTTGAATAAATAAATAGTCAGTTCAGTCAATTAATCAGAAAATCAACAAGAACTTTGAATTTCATAAGTATCTATGTTTCCTTAAAGTTAAAATTATTATTTAACATTAACAATAATGGTTTTATTGGAGTTCACTTTTAAGTTCGCAGGATATATAAAGTTCAGATTATTGTTAATGTTAGATTTTTAAGGAAGTTGGAGTTGTTTACTTTTAAAATTATTATTATTAAATGCTAATATTTTTAAAAATTACAATTTAATTAGAAAACTTGGCTTTTTACACAAAGCATTTTAAAATAATTATTTATAAGAATAGAATTGTGTGGTATGAAAATATCAATTTAGAAAAATAAGACAGAAATTAAATCAAAATTGAAACTTTTGTAGTGTTTTAGAACTGATATTGATCCTCAAAACTTTTTTTTTATCAATAATTCATTAAGTTCAATTTTAGCCAGTAAAAATTTAAATCAATTGTTCAAAATAAGAAAACAGTATGTTGTATATATATATAACATATTTACTCGGGTATAAGACGTTCTCGTGTATAGGATGAAGTGTGACTTTAGAGATCAAAATAAGGAAAATTAGATTTATTAATACAATTCTAATTTTATTTCGTTTAATCACAAAAAATTATCAAATGTATGTATTAATTAAGGCAAACAACCATGTTTGCCTTAATACATGATGAATGGAAAACATAATGCACATGACCAGAAAAAGTTTATTTTTAATGATTCAGAATGTGGTATTGATAATATTCATTAAAAATAACAATTTAACCAATATAAAATAACTACATTTATAATCATTGCTAAGAGACCTGTATTTCATTAATGTTTTTATAAATAACAAGAAAGTATTTTCTGCAAACGAATGAGATGCAATGCAGTTTTTAATCTATGGATATAAGATTAAACCAATAAACAAAGCGGTGTGTGTCTTAATTTGTTTACAGTAGGTGCCAACTTATGATAAATAGACTGTAGACCTATAATGACAGCATGAAGTATACACAGTTCACGGAAATTATTGCAAAAATGCAAAGAATGCTTCGTTTGCACATATAGGACAACCTAGGTTTTTGAAGCAGTGAAAAATGAATAAAAATCTTGTCTTATATGTGAGTAAATGCAGTATATCTTTTTAAGCCTAAAGTATCTAAAATTTAATCAAAAAATACTTCAAAAAACTACCTTCATGACTTGGAACCAACAGGAATTATCAGGAAATCATCAAAATTTGCTGGATCCTTGATGATCTTGTCCTAGAAACAAATTAAGCTGTAATATTTAATAGAAATCCTAAAATAGTGATTATTATTTAGTGATTATTAATATAGCTATGATATATATTTTCAATTTAAAAAAATTACAACAAATAACTTATTGTCCAAAATCTTAGAAATTTTCTCTTTCCGTAAAAATCAGAATGAATTGAGAAACTACTGGTATAAAATAAGACAATTTTTCACGTTTATTTAATTAGCATAATTGTTGTTTTAGATTGCAAATATAAGATACCATCTAACAGTAAGATACATCTCTGTCTTGAGTAAGTAAAAATGGATTTAAAATGTTTTGAAATTAAGAAAACGGTAAATTCTTACAGATATAATGACATGACAATATATTCAGAAAATAAAATTTACTTTCAGAATATATCATCATTAAAATAATCTTAAAATTTATTTTTTATAATTATTTTAATATATAAAGAAATTTAACAATTTTGAAAACAATTAAAAATTGAATTTTCTGAGATTTATGACATTTTAAAAGTAGCATACAATAACTTCATTGGTGCTTTAAAATGTAAAGATTTAGTAATCACATTAATTTGTACAAAATGTTGACATTTTCCTCTCAATTTACCAATTCCATTATTTAATGCATATATTTTAATTTATAAATATCTGTTTATCAGTTTGGTCATAAAGACTTCTTTGATTAATTTAGTAGGTACAGTGTAATCATAAAGTCATTCTGCAGTAGTTAGGGAAACTGAAGGAGCTTCCATAAACAAAAATATGAATTCACAGGGTGAGAAAACATGTTTATTATTCTTAGTACAGCATGGGTGTGGCCCACTCCACAGCATCTTTATAATTGCACTGGATTAAAAAAAATATAGAAAACATTATCCTGATGAGAAGGATGTCATTATCTTATTATAACAAACAAAATTATATTTTAATGCCAGATAATCATATGTGAATTTTAAAAACTATAAATATTCCATAAATATATTAAATTACAAAGTTATTTAAAAAAATACACTACTAAAGTTCAATTACAACTTAGGTTTAAGTTTAATTCATTTTTAGCATATGGTATACATTAACTATCTGATAAACTATGTATGTTTTAAAACATTTCTTAGCACAAAAACTATAAATGCAAAAAATCAATCATGTTTTAAATGAATGAATCATACGTATAAAAATGTTATTTAAATCAATATATAAAAACTTATTGCTGATCACCATACTTCATTTGGAAAGATAAAAAAAACTATGTAAATTTTGTATTGCCATGATAAGAATTTGCTTGTTTTCATTTAGTGTTATGAGCGAAGTCATATTAAACAAAAACTAGTTAAATTTTAAAAATTATTTTATATCAATTTTATACAATTAGTTTCATGCAATATTAGTATGTTAAGCATAGTGTTCAATTTAATAATACTAATACTTATAGAACAGGTATTTGCTTAATTTAAATAAATTCCAGACATCAATTTGCAAGTCTAAATGAAAAATTTCATTTAGACTTGTTCATTTCATTCAAAATTTGCAGTATATAAGGTAAAAAAAATAATGTTAAAAAAATAATTAACATTAATTTTACTTATATATGTAGTACTAAAATTTATACTTTGCATAGTTTCTTTCATTTTTCTTTTTTCCATAAATATCTAAATGAGTTGTATCTAATTGATTAAAACTGATTGTATCTAATTAAAATATCTGATTGAGTTATAGTTTGCTTTTAATTATTCATTGTTGTACAGCAATTGTTATATTTTTTTAAAGTTTTTTTTATATTTATTTTAGTATATGTAATTTGTTAGTGACTCATACAAAAACAAAATTGGTTCTATTTTTCTCAAAATATGTTTAAAATAACATTTTTAAAAACTTTTATAGTATTGGAAGCATGTTTTTATTTTGGCTTTTTAATAGATTGAATTGATTACAACAGAGATGTTGCTGATAGTTATTGTATCAGTACATTCACTTTTAATTTTTATTGATACAGTAATGCAATGCTCTCTTTGTTCTCAATCTATCAAAATGTAGTTGCTGAGCTATGAAATTGTTAATGATACTTCAGTCCATAATTTGAAATAGAGATTTTGGGAGAAAGTTACTTGATATAAATATGGAAAATATATTGAATTTAGGCTGAAAATGCAGGGAAAAAAATAACTTTTGAGATAGAGGTTTTTGAGATGAACATGTTTGAGATACAGGTTCAACTGTGTTTGTTTTTGTTATAGTCACATCATCATCATCATCATCATCATCATCATCACAGTAAGACCTTGTTTAGTGCTTAGGATGTGTTCCTAGATGACAAAGCACTAAATGAAACACGTTAAACAAGATCATTTTAACACACAGTAAATAGGGAAAGGAAAACACGCAACCAAAAATAAACAATTTTTACTTTAATTTTAAATTATTTTTATATTAATTTGCAAATAATATGTGTTACATAAAACAAACATATGCACAGAGAAAAGTAGAGTTCATTTTTGTGATGAAGGTCCTAGATCTTTTGAAATTCTGATTTTTTTCTGATGAAGTCCTCTAGTGTCATTTGTCATAAGGAAACCTGTAGCAAGTTCTTTGGGTTCTTCGTTTTCAGAACCACTAGTTTCTAGTTCTACAGGGTGTATCAGTACAGCTGTTACAAACTTTCCGGAGAGATAGAGTACACCTACTGTGTTTCCCCGAAAATAAGACATCCTCTGAAAATAAGACCTACCATAGGTTTTGCTGAATTGCTAAATATAAGGCCTCCCCCTGAAAGTAAGACATAGCAAAGTCTTTTTTACTTGTAACGGTCATTGACAGATGGTTGAAAGTGGCCGTTGGCTTTTTGAAAGTACAGCCACTGATTGGTCAGCAGACAATCACCCCACACGGCATGATTTGCATAAAACTATGGCTTGGGAATCACAGATTTGCATAACGTTATGGCTGGTGATGGCTAATTGGTCGGCCGGGAATCACGCCACATCACATTTGCATAGTGCTACAGTTCAGTAAGCACTAATTAGTCATCGAGCCCAATGTCGACACTATAAAAAAGTTAAGTTGAAGCGAGAGTGGGAAGCTCTTCAGAGAAAAAGCACACTAAGGCTGTTATCTCCATATGAACACGAAGAAGAATAAGAAGAGAGTGGTGAGTCCACTCCAGCATGGGAACTTTGTCAGTTCAGTTTGACACGACCAGATATACGTCACTCTTGTCTAAGTTCGACTTTGAATTTTTTGTTCAATAATAAATGTGAGTTCTTCTTCATGGAAAAAATAAGACATTCCCTGAAAATAAGACCTAGTGCATCTTTCAGACCAAAAATTGATATAAGACACTGTCTTATTTTCGGGGAAACACGGTAGACAATGGGAAATCACATAGCAATGCATGGTCAGAAACATTTTCCTGACATGATAATGACAACACAAAACACAAGAAAGGAAGGACACGAACAGGGTGAAAAAACCTTCTTTGACTTTTGCTGTACTAAAAATAATAAACATGTTTTCTCACCCTGTTCGTGTCCTTCCTTTCTTGTGTTTTGTGTCGTCACTATTGTGCCAGGAAAGCGTTTCCAACCATGCATTGCTATGTGATTTCCCATTGTCTAGGTATACTCTATCTCTCCTGAAACTTTGTAACCGCTGTACTGATACACCCTGTATATGAATTCCTTGTTCTGCCAGTTCTTGAAGGTTGTCAATGGATAAGGCTCTCACCAGAAACCTGCAGTAACTCCTCAATATCCTGCTCATCTTCATTTCCTAGTCCCACTGTATCGATCGAGTTGACAATTTGGTCAACAATAGGCTCTTCTTGTTGAGAATCATTGAATACCTCCAGCCATACCATCTTCCATGCTCCATTCACGCATTTATCAATTAATTCTTGCCAAACAAAGTCAATGGATGCCATAGGCATCCAAGATGTTATTTTTTTTCAAAAATTACACCAAACAAACATACAGTGATAGGTCAGTTTTCGTTGGTAATCTGTCCAAAAATAATCGATGAAATCCGAAACCGATGAAAACTGAGACAATTATTTCCTTACGAATCAATGTAAATCCAATTAATTCATTCCAGACACTCCAAAATCTTAACAACTCCCAGTTGTCTATTTAATATGACATTTTCTCTTTTCTTTTACTTGTTTCTAACCACTTTAATAATAATAATAACTATTTTTACTCTAACTTTGTATCTTAAAATGGAATATGTTTTCAGTGTTTTTGAAAAATTAAAAAATTTAGATATTATTTTAGTACCAAACCATACAAGAACCATAGCAAAAATGATTAACAGTAAATATAAAAATAATGAACATAATGATTTAGAAAAAGATAATGTAGTTCAGTGTTTTTCAACCTTCTTGAATACGTGACCCCTTTAGAAGTTAAAAACTTCTGCCGACCCCCTAAGGCCATATTAAAACTATATCAGTGATTTTAAAAACTACGTATTTAATTTTCTTTCTGTTGAGGTCTAAATATTGATTGAAAAACCAACTGTACTGTAAAATAAACAAGTACAGCCTTCTCACTGAAATTAAAGTTTATTGTAGTGTAGGACCTACAAACACTTGTCTTTTTCTTTTACCCGCAAACCTCCCCGTGTAAGGCTTTGCAACCCCTTGGGGGTCGAGACCCACAGGTTGAAAAACACTGATGTAGTTTATTCATTAGATTGCAGTAGTTCACATAAAAAAAGATACATTGGTGAAACTGGAAGAAAATTAAAAACAAGAATTAAAAAACATATATATGCCTCAAAAACAATTTAATATCATCATCAGTGACACAAAATTGCAATACTGAAGGTTGTGAAATTTTTAAAGATACTATTAAGAGTATTCAGACAGAAAAAAAAATCAATTAAAAAGAAGACTACAGGAACACACAGAAATTCTGAAAATACAGGAAGACATTAGAATTAATAACAATGTGGGATTGAGCTATATGAGGGTGGAATGACATCGTCTTTACATAACCTTGAAAAAG